ATCATCGGACGGGACCACATCCCTATCGTCGAGGATGACGTACCTCTCTACGAGGTGCGGATGCTCTCTCAACCACGCCTTGATCTCATCCAGTCTGCAGCTGTACACCTGAGTCTTCACACTACGTAAGGCCGATGGGCTCTCATGACTTACCCTTGTGTTAGTCGCTTTATAGTTGAGGTGAGGCGTTCCTGTAGTCCTGCCTATGACCACATCAGGAGGGAGGTCAGCTAGTCGGCAGAAGACGTAGGTGATGTAACTACAGGCAGCTCAAGTGGCTGGCGACGCGTGCTTGACTTACTCCTCGAAACCGCGCCAATAGGTGGTCCACACTAGCTTGCACCCCGTCTGCCGCACTATATCCCCGACACGATTCACGAGATCCTGAACTCTACAGTGGACACGAGCGTGCTACAGAGGCACGTACAGGGTTGAAAATGACTTGGGGTCCTCCTTTGACCGTATTGAGGACACCATCAATGTCGAGGAAAAGGATTTTGTAAGGAGGGGAGCCGCCGCTACTAGTGCAAGCAGTGGTCTCTGCAGATGATGCGGAATTCCCGATCATTTATGGAGAAACGGAAACATTCACAGTTCTCTTCCCGAGAACACCAACTCAACATCTTCCTTGCCACTATGATGACTGATTTTCATGACCACTGGGTTTTACTGTGCTTGCTACGGTAAGCGCATGTTTCCGCTCTAGTCAACTTCTGATAGGAACAGAACCATGCCGATGTTCAGCGGAATTTGCACACAGTATCATACCTCTTGCAAAGCCTCATTCCGATTGATATGGTGAGCGCCACGTGCCAATCGCCATTATATGCGGCAGGTGAAGCATCTAGCTGCTCCTTCGTTACACGGTTCTGAGTCAGAACTCCTGACCGATGCTACTACGAATCCTCTAGCGCTTCGTGTGGCATGACTGTGAGAAAGATACGCTGCGCACAGCGAAGGATACTCCGTGAGACTACCCAGTCTCCCTGAGTCTTAGATGATCCTAGCATTCAAATTGCTCGGCACGAACAGCGTCGTTGCCCAGCCATTCCTTCAGCAACTTGGAATACTCTAACCACGTCAAGAGGACCAACATGTCGATCGTTCGCAACATAGCGTGCCGCCGAAGAATTCGAATGTTGGTATTATTCAGTGCATTCTTCGGCTAATCTTATCGTCCCTGCCTCGGTCACCACCACTTGTTGACCCACATTTACGACATGGTTCGTGAGACTACCGAGTTAACCGTGGTATATAATTGTGAAGAGATATCGTTGCCCATCCCTGGAGCTCACTACGATAGCTATCGTCCAAATAATAGTGGCATCAGTGCAGAAAAATATGCACATAGTCGACTACATTTGTCGGTGACTATGAAAACTTAGTGGAAATTCCAGGAAAAATCTAATAATTTCCTAATTCTAATTAGGACAGCGAACATCTGTTCCAACACCACCTGGCGTAGTCGCCATCAGTTAGCATATCATCCTCAGCTTCTTTGGACATCGCATGTTGCCAACATCCAACCAGAAGCCTTTCCCACTATCATCGAGAACTCAACGATAATAATTGTTGAGAATGGGGGTATCACTGCATGCTACATGTCTCTCAGCCTCTGACAAACGGTCTTGGCGGTAGGTCGACCAGATGGGTCCCCGTGCCAACAGTCAACCATCAATTCACGCAGGAGCGGGGGGCAGCCTTCGGGCACCAGGTTTATGTCGGGCCTCATACCCTGCGGACAGCGGAGCGATGCAAAATCACAGATGGAGTAGATCGGGCTCACTGTGGAGACGTTGATAGCGATAGCAATAGGCGTGAGGTGCGGCTGGGAGCAATAGGGCCGAGTCCGAGTAATGATCTCATACATGCATATAGCGAATGAATAAATATCAACCTAAGCGATTGGCCACATTCGCAGTGTCCATGGGTCACGACTCTGACTTGGTGGTCGCATGATTCGTCCTCTGATAATATCTCTGGTGCCATCCATGCCCACGTGCCTGGACTCGAGACATCATATGCAAGAATTCGGGGACTAACCTCCATGGTGTTGATGATGATGCGAGCTGGATGAACTCCCAATGAGGTCCGACTCGCGGTGCTTCATGAATGCTATGCCGAAGTCGGCTATCTTCACGATAGGTACTGACCTATGATGGTGACACTACTGCCTACTCAGTGTGACACATATCTGTGACTTTACGTTGTAGTAGTGAGAGGATGGGCCAGAAGGAGGTTCTGTGACTTGAGGTCTCGATGGATGATAAGAGGGTTGTTGGTATGGAGATAGAAGATGCCCTTGGCAGTATCAGAGCAAATTTTATGTCTCTACATTGAACATGAGTTACCGTCATTGTGAATAAGCAGGTACGCACCTGTTGCCAGGTTAGATCGAGGTCTTTCCTAGCGTAAAGTACAGAACTGAGAGGCCCACCGTCACAGAGTTCAGTGACCAGGCGAAGCGGTCTGGACTTGGTGAAAGCGCCCATGAACAGCACTAAGTTGGGGTGCCTGCGGTAGCGGCATTAGCGCGATCTCATTCCACTGATAATCATTCACCTAAGGTTGATGACTATCTCGAGTTCCTGCTTGAACTCAGCCACTTTGTCCTCGGTCTCTCTCGCCTTAGCCCAGGTGATTTCCTTTATAGCGACATCTGCCTCTCTCCAAATACCACGATAGACGTCCGCAGCGGCACCGGACCCCAGCATTGGTCCGTACTCTGCAATAGACCAGAAGGCCACGGAACTAGTCTTGGGTATAATAATCACCTAGTTCGGCAAGGTCCACCTCCCATGGCTCGTCGTCCTTTTCTTTTACTGGTAACATCCTAGGGTACGGTGCATGCTCTAGCAGTAGCAACGTTGACATTACTCGCTAGGTAGAGATTTCCGGAAGGCTCTGATGAGATCTGGGCTGGCGTTTGCGAAAGGGTGGCAACACATGATGTCCTCGACAAGGGGATCTGCTCGATGATCGAGTAGTAGTTGTATCTGTGTCTTGTCGAAGCTAGAGGGGCATGACCCATGGTATGACCATATCGCGGTTTTCCATCTCTACTGCTAAGTGCAGGGGGCTCCCTCCTAAGTCATTAACTGCATTCACATCAGCTTTCATTCCAATGAGACAATTGGTAACCTAACAATCTGTATCATCTCACTAGGCGTGATAGCCCCACCTCGGTCCAGCCAATAAGACTAGCATAATGTAGTGCAGTCCATCCGGAAGCATCCCGGGAGTCTACCTCAACGCTCGTGTGCTTGTCATTGAGGATATCTCGAACGTCCTGGGTATTCCCAGCTGCTACCTGATAGCACAATAGCGACCCAGTAGGAGTGAGGGCCACCCCTACAGCCCGTAGTAAAGCTTCTAGGGCATCCTTCTCATTAAGTCCAACTTGTGAGCTCGATGGTGCACTTGGTCGTGTAGGAGATATTTTGCGTATTTCGCCGATGGACTTCAAGAATTCGGCCTATCAAGTTCTAATCCTGGGACGTGTATAGAGGTCCTTCCCAGTTACCTTCAATACCGCCATCCTCGCGTTAATGTCAGCTCTCGCTCGGGCGTCGTCTGTAGTGTCGAGTAAGGCGTATTGTCTACGCATTTCCTCTTCTATGAGGCCTGCCTATACTGAAACCATTGCAATGAGAGTCCTTCCGGGCCTTGCGGGAGGATGATGTTCTACCTCCCCAGCGAAGAGAGCCTCTTGATGCCTATCAGAGCTGATTGGTGTCTGCTTCTGCTGTTCCCGCATCGCATCTTGGCACTGCTGTTTTAATCTGCTACGTTCCACTGTAGGTCCCACAAGCTCCTTCTGGCTCACCTTTTCAACAGTTTGGATAGTTCTATACGTTGCTGAGCATTGTTGGTTTGCGCCAAGGCCTTGGACACTGAGCGCAGCTCCTGTTCGAGCCTGCCTAGCTCCCCTGCTAGAACCTAAGCATAGGCCGACAGTAGTACACCTAGAGAGACGTTAGATAGAACTAAGCTTAGCTATGGGACTTAGTGTCAGTCACCGATGTAAGGGCGATAGCGGCTTCCCTTGTTACCTGATCCTCCATCCCCCAACCTATTCCAGGCCCGAATTGCGCCTTCATGGTTTATGGGCGCGCGCTACTTTAAAAGACGAATGACCATTCGCGCTCGCCCGAAATCCACCGTTTCAAACAATCGAGTTGCGTCGTACCTATACAGCTGACGATTCGCTCAATCGTGCTAATTGGGTGACTGTCGTAGGGATTGTTTAACTCCGCGAATAAATGTCGGCGCTTGGGAGTCCGTTACCAGCATGCGGCTCCTACTTCGCATCTCCAGTGCTCGAGCTGAGGTAATGTTAAGCCCGACTGGCAACTGTGACAATTTGGTCTTTCAGTGCCGATTGGCGTACTCCAGCGAGGCCCTGCCGAGGTGTTCGACACGTGGCATACTCTGCTCGCGGTACGGAGTATCTCTCACCCGCCGATTGCCTTCACTCTAAGAGTGTTGCCGTACAGCGGCCGCGACCCCTTCGACCCCAGTCCCCTACGGTGGTACCCCGAGGCTCTGATGAGAATCGAGACACCAACAACGTGGTAAGCTACTTTCGGATTTGACGTGCTTTCATGAAGGGTGTTTCCGGTCAGGCCTCGAGCACACTATTCCCTCCGAGACCTCCTTCTCACAGACGCCGGTCCTTGGTGCCACTTTTCGCGGCTAGCAATGTAGCTCCTCATTTCCGGATCCGTACATCCATCGCATCATCAATCGAAATGTCCCCTCCAACCAAGCCTATAGCTCGCCGGTAGGTTGGCCGCAACTGGTCGTTTTCCGTGTTATTGTGATGTGCAGGCTCTCCGTGTTGTGCTGTACTCCTAACCCGACTACGCCATTGCCCACTGCTGTGGACCAAGCAGAAGTTGATTCAGTAACTGCCAGTATCGTTGCTCAACTGGACAACCTAAGACTGCATACTGGCAGAGATCAGCCGCCTCGGACACTTCCTGTGATCCCACGATACGGCAAGAAGCCTCTGAGGCGTGAATCGGCGAATCTCCGACGTTTATGACCCCTGAGGATTGGTTGTTCTTTAAGTTTTATATAATGAGAAATATCACGATACCTTTCTTTCGAGCCATACTGGCTTGTGCGGAGTCCCTCTGCGTGGTTACTGACGTGTTTGTTATGACGAACGGTAGCAACACCGTGTAGAGTTTACACTGACTGCGTTGACATATCTTGGCTGTACATAGCCTCCCTTCACGTTCATACGGATGGTATATTTCACATCATGTGAATGTATCCTCACCCTGGTACAGTAATGTTCATTGGTACTATTGAACCATACTCTCATCATTATCATAGCTGCTCCCCCTTCTAGTGCTTTTTAGTACTAGAAGCAATAGTAGTGAATGCATGAGCATGTGAGCGTATAAGGGTGCCATGTTGTTGCGTACAGTCGAGTGGGTCATTTGAGTGATTGCTTGTTGCTTTGATGGTAGCTTGGCTGAAGCGGGTCATTCGAGAAGGAGGGGAATCTCCTGAGCGGGCGTATGACGCGGAAACTACATGTGTTACACAGGTTTCCCACCAAGGCCAATACTTTCCTTTGTAGGTCCAGTATTGCCCTTGGCTGAGTGGTCCAGGACGACTTCGAGGACAATCCGATCGGTTGTTGGGAGAGAGTCGTCAATAGGTCTGCTAGACATCCCATTGCCCACTATGCTAGCAGTAAGCTAGACTTGACCTGGTCAGTCTGGGAGTATCGTCACTCAGATCGCCTCCTACCTTGGTCGTGGTGCCATCAAGGCTTTAGTGGCGGTGGATGCCCGGCTACGGGATTACCTCATCCCTGAGTTGCCCCCTGCTGCACCTCGGGGGAGTGGACCTAGTGATGCACTAGTCCGCTCAGGTCGTCGTCTGCCTATTATGACCAAGGGGGACATGAGAGAGCACTTGGTAGCAAATGTGATGGTAGGTGGGAAATCCGAGAGAGCTTATGATGAGTTCTGTGTATAGAAAGCTTCCGCATCTCGCTGTTTGACCTCACCCAAGGCGGCCTCCTCGTTACCCCAGGAGCTGCTGGACTCGGGCTTCGAGCTCGCTGAGGAGGCAAGGCCTCAACTAGGGGAAGGTAGGCACAGCCTGTTAAGGGCGATCTAGTATGGGTGTTCTCTTTAGGTAGTTTTGCCAGAGTGTCCCTAGTAGTACGAAAGGACAAGTTCTATGCCTTGAAGACGGTCACCAAGGGTCCACTTGAGGCTAGGAATATGGCCGAGCATGTGAGAGCATCAGTGAGATCAATCTGGACCGATTCCCTTTAGATGAAACGTGAAGTTAGTCTCCATTCCCGGATGTGCACTCACCCCAACATCGTAGCTCTCCACGACTATTTTGAAGATTCCAGGCGAATGTAGTCGGACCATTCAGTGGTGGATCGAGGCTCGAGGGTCAGTTACATGCTGCTCGAATGGTGTCCTTTTGGATCGCTCTCGGGTGCCCTGGCCACCTTGGCTGTCGATTCTGCTGTTAAGACGTTACCCCTGAGTATCACGGCGTGTACTGCTGCTATTATCATAGATCAACTTGCGGCTGCAACTAGGTAGGATTGCCTTCTAGTGTGCCTCACAAGAGGCGGTCATTGCTGAGGTATTTACACGATAATGGTGTGATCCATCGGGATATCAAACCGGACAATATCCTCATATCAAATCTAACACCAGGGGACATACAAATTCGACTTACCGACTTCGGTTGGAGTAAGGCTTCATAAATGGCAGTATAGGGAGGCTTCTTACTTATCAGGTTGTCTCGAGAACGATACCACTCAGATTTACTCGAAGTGTGGTACGCCAGGTTTTGCCGCTCCTGAGGTCTTTGCCGGGCGGCAGCAGACCCCCGCTAGTGACATATGGAGCATAGGAGCTGTGCCATACTTCCCTCTCAGAAAGGTGTATGTAGTTCTCAGTTCAGGTATTACGGAGTGTCTGTGGACCGGTTGAAACCTATACGCGGTTCGATCCTCGTTTACACGATCTCAATCAGAAACTCTCCCGAGTGGACCCACAGAACCGTCCCTCAGCAGAGGCAATAGGTAAGTGGTAACCGGTAGCTCGTGTCAACAGTGCATATCATTAGCACAACATACGTGGATGAAGTGGGCTCTAGAGTATCGTAAGGAATACTCCTGTGCCTGGTTATGTCAGCTAGTTGATCATGCCAGGCAGAGCCACACGGGGTCAGCAGAGGGTAAGTGAGGGTAGATTAGGACGGTGCATTAGTGAGGAATGACTTGTCGGGATCTCATGAACGTTGCGGACATGCTTGGCTCATCGTCCTTGCCTGAACATGCACTCAGTAGGTCTAAACTCCCCCATGGGCCAGAGGCTGCCTCGACCACCGAGCCGTGCTGATAACCTCGTGATGGAGAATGATCCCCCGACTGGCATGATCAGTTCACCGACAATCATAGGCCTGAGGTCACCCGTATTGTCCCCGAGGTCACCTCATTTGCACACTAGACCAGCGGTAAGCCGTAGTCAGTGCTACTGCTACCGACTTCTATCAACTTTCTTAGACGCTCCCGACAACTCCCCCCAAATACGCCCTTCAGAGTACTACGACTAGTACTAGCCCATATCGGGCCTATCCCCCTCGGGCAGTGGTTCCCGTCACGAGAGTCGTCAGAACTCAATGGCAGCCTCCCAATCCAGCACAGCATCTTGTCTATACAAGCTCAGTAGGTCTAGAAGCCTCCCAGGTGTGAAGGAGGGTGGATCGTAGGTACCACAGTCGGCGGTCCTCCGGAGCCCTTTCCTAGAGTCCAGGGTAATTAGACGATCTGCTACGGTGATGTCCGTAGTGACATCGACTCAGGGAAGTTAGCTAGCAACATCATGCACACTATCAACCTGATGAAGTTTGTATTCAATATGTCTCTCTTGTACTGCTACTTCATAGGCTCGAGTTAGTTCTGACAATGCAGTAGTATCGCGATATTGAGCACGCTATGGTCAGCCGTCTATGTCTCTACGGCTCTCTCTGGGATCTACCTCGTTAGATGTGAAGGAAGTTTAGGGCCAAGAGAACGACTTGGGCCCCATTGATGAGCGCTGCCTGTCTCGTCGGCCTCCTAGTAGCCCTTATTCATCGGCCCTCCCTCCGACGCTCCCATAACTGATGGAGGCCATTGCCCAGCAGAGGCAGTGGAAAGTGGTCCCCCTGTGTTTGTCGTAACAGGACTATGATTAGTCCTATCTCTTCCCGCTCGTCAGACTGACTTTATCGCGCTCAATCTCGAGTGAGGAGTTACGATTAGTATGTGACGACTACCAAGCGCATTCTCGGACCCGATGGATGCCCTAATATCATTCCCTGACAAGTGTGCCCTAGCCAACATGCTAAACTGGTCTTCGTGAAGAGGGGCCTCGCATAGAAGTTGGAGGAACATTCTTCGACTGCGAATAGGATACCACCAAGACACCATTGAGTCGCTTGCCGGATCTACTGCTCATGTAAATGAATTTCATATTTCATTCCTGTATGCTTTTCGTGGTTGCGTTGGACTAGTTACTGCAGTACACAATCTCAACACAGTTTTCCGGCATCTCGAAACTCCTTCCGCAAGTAGATGATGATTCTGAACAATTGTAAGAAACACTTATTTGGACGCTCGCGTGACCACAACGACGGATGGTCCCTTCCGATCCCAATGCGATAAGTACGCATGCGAGTACCGCAGGAGAGATGACATGTATGGTGTTTAATTCAACATAATCCTGTCGGGTCAATTGACCACTATCAACCAAGCTAATTATGGGAGACGTAGAAGCAAGTATATCGGTAATGGTAAATGCTGATATGAGACGGAGGCCTCTACTCCTTACCTTCAATTCGCCAAGCAGTACATGCTGTGCCTGAGAAAGCAGTGAACACCACATTTCAAAGCCGAGGTGAATTACAGACGAAGATGAGCGCCATGGCGTTGGTCTGTTGGCTCTCTGGAAGCTGCCAGAACACAGCCTCGTGGTTGGGACAGTTATTGCAAGTATACTCGGTGGTCCGAGAAAGGGTTGGGTCGTGGATGACGTCACTTCGAATCATCAACGCTTCCCTGCATGGACACTATAAGCGACGAGGAGTAATACTAATGGTATCACTTATGGTGATAAGACACATCATTCCTGAAAACGACTAAGTCGTCGGCATTGATATTCTCTAACTCATCGTCCTTTGATACGACTCGTTGAACATAGGGACAGGTCCTGAGGAGAAAAGATGTTTCTGAAGGCTTTCACCTCTACCACCGCTACTGCTCCGGAAGATCACAAACTGAAGTGATAGTGTTCGACGACAGTTTATAGGGGAGTTTGCCATGGTGTGGTATGGAATTGTCGAGTGTGGGTTACTACGTACAACCAGCAGCGTCCGATCCTACTACCTGCAAGCATATTCCAATGCCACTTCCCGCTTGTTCTCTCGAGGGTAGAGGAGATTATTGCACTCTGGGCAGAACTTGAGTTGGGCTGACATATTAAAGGAAGACTGAGTGGTATGATACAGTAGGGGGGAACATCTAATACTACCCCACTATCGTCAATACACAAAATAGAAGTTAAACTGTACCCTCCTGATAGACGAGGGAGATACTTAAAAAGGCTAGAAGAGCCTCTTTGATCATCAATCCTCAATGGATTCCGGACCATCCAAAATGAACTCGAGCTCATTCACATCAAAATGACAAACAATGTTTGCTTCGCTCCGCTGTCTGGCACATTTTTTCCTCATCGTTCTACAAATTCATGCATCTGGGTACGTTTTGTCGTTACGGTCACGCTCCTCAGCAGAGAACGCCAAGATAGGTATTGCTTGGACAGGAATAGACTTGTAATCTTGAGGAAGTCTGATTGATAACCAGGCTAGAGATCACTATTGGCAGTTCACAGCGCAGAGTTTACGTGGCTTCGGGTTAGTGATTTGGAACGAGGGGATACACTTGTATGTCTCCCTCATGGATGCAGTAAATCGGATATGTGCTGGAGGATAGGTTTAATCGACGCAGGACGGGAAAGTACCTGACATGTGGTCGAGAAATCAACGACTAATTCTGATGCAGCTCTCATGTTGTGATGGTGTATCGTCTTGTGGTGGATGCCAATACCCAGCCTATGCGTGATGGTGATAACACTGAGTCTTATCATACTGCTTCCCTCGATGTAGATATCCCCGAGTTGATCACCCTAGACGAGCAAACTAGTGGTATTAAAGCACCACTCGGATGATCTGTACTGTTCACGTAACATCCTAAAAGTCGATATCGCCGCGGACGCCTCTCCGATGTAGCTTTCCTTCACAAATTCGCCTCCTTTTTCATGAGAGATCTGCTTATGTTCTCAACATCCTGTCGTCCAGTACAATACCGTCTCTGTGTTCGTCCGACCATCGGCAATGTCGCTTGAGTTCAGTGACGTTATACAGCCTTCCTCAGTAATGGTTCGGGCTAGCAGTCCAGGGCGAGCTGAATCCTTAGAGGAGTTGGTCCAGAGACGGCAAGAGGAGGTCCAGGCAGCTATGGAAAAGGCTGAACCCAACAAGAGCTTCTATGCTTACGATACGTTCGATCCCTCAACCATCAAACGCAAACCAATCAACAAGTAGGAGAAGTCCTGGGAGGATATTTGATTTCTACTCGGCCGTCTTAGGGCTCCACCAGTCGGGAGTTCACCGTCTCCAGTAGATGCCCAGGACGATCCTGTGGCTGCCCATAAACGATTGAAGATTGATAACGAGGCGTTCGAGACTCGGGCGAAGGAGGAGTTTGCTGGTGTAGGGGAGGCGGATGGTCTTGGGAGAGGGAGGGAGCAGTTTAAAAACGATAATGAATTCATCAAGTAAAGGGCAGCTGTCGCGGAAATCGGCATATCTCTATCTGGGTCGTTAGGTGCTCTATTCTATATCTTCTTGGCGTGTGGGAGCATAAACTCGAGGACCCCAAATGGAAAAGTGAGGAGGGTGTTGTGGGGCGCTTTCCAACGAGGAGTTGTGTTTTATTTCGAGATACAATAGTTGGCAAGCGTAAGACTTATCACGACACAGTGGACAGGATGAGACCCTTGGTGACACTCCTAGAGCACGATGAGAAGCTTGCCCAAGGTAGGGTCAACGGCAGGGTAGTCGGGGGAATGTCACTACGTTGTGCAGGGGAGGAACGGCGGGTTCCTGAGGCTGTCGTGGACGTCCTCAAGGGGGTCTTTGAGGAGATAGTGAAGAGAGAGTAATATCTGCATACGGTGGTTGGGTAGTCTTCTTATTAAGGTATGTCGAGGCTAATAAACTGTATCTGGACATGACCGTGGGGAATCAGCTGTGGCCCATGGGTGGTATCAATTTGGGTAAGCCAGGCCAACTTGGGGGGGGGGGGGGCGGCGTCCTTTTACGGTGTGCGACAGGTGTGGTTCAACAAGTGTGCCGAAGAGTGGAGGAGAAGTCCCATCTGTTGGACGATATTGAAGTAAAGCGATACACACAGGGCGTGAAGAGGCTCATTACAGTGGCCATGACGATGTGGCCCAATAGTGATGAGAGTAAAAACTTTCAACCTTGACTGCGCTAATTTTTGGTTTTCGAGTGGTAGGGCCTGGATATGCTTTCAGTTCGTTCATGTTGATGTCACTCTGATGCAGTCGGCGACTGTGATCCCCCACACAGCGGAGATCGTCCTTAAGCCTAGTCAACTGGCCTTCAAGATTGTCCAGGCTGCGGCTATGGGCAAGCAAGAGCTGCTTAGGGAGGATCTATGCAAAGCTATTATAGAACAGGTGGGATGATATAGACTATGTTGAGCATCGTTGTTGAGTTCAAAAGTGTATGTATGCGGCATTGCTTGTGGAATGACCGTTGCTGCCTTATTAGCGGTGCGTGTGTCGGTCAGATGAAAGCGAGTTCAGGGAGGTGGAATCCTGCTCGGCTATGCTCTGTGCTTTTTCGAGTGTCTCAAGTGGCCCCTGGGACTACTCTACTCCGAGGCATGGTCCTATCAGCTCATGGGGACCTAGAAAAGGTATACCTACTGTTGGGTCGGTCGCGACTCATCAGAGCAATCCTTCAGATAGGGTGTTCCTCAGGCCTTGAGCACCTCCCTGAGTCGGGTCTCTCGCGGTAGTACTAGAGAGCTCTCAGAGCTGGCCATGGTCCTTCGTCGTGTACCTACTACTTGTGACAAGGGGGAGTAGCAATGGGTGGTGCTATTAATCATCGTAGTAGGGGTTCCCTCTCAGGAGAGACCATCGGAGGCTGTGGTCACTACTTGGACAACAGATCCCCAGTATAGGACCACATATGGAGCTGTTGGACTTAGCTTTCGTGGGCGTAGCTCTACAGGACTGTCCCAACACTTTGAAAGAGTAGTATTTTGTATTTTCTGGTCCCCCACAGTAGACCTGCGACTTGACTATTCTCTTTAGCGTTGATGCTGACGACGTCGAGGCGGCGTTGAGATGGTTAGCAATAGAGCTGTGTGAGCGGCTACTTGCCATGAGCTCACAGGAAGAGGAGCAACAGAGTACTTTGAATATAAAGGCTGTGATACTGTCTTTGGGAGTGTAAGAACAACGCTAACAATAAGAACATGCTGCGCCGTTTTGTCAGAATTGGAAGGGCACTTCACCATGTTGAGCTGGAGCAAGGGAGGTTCTTGCAGGCGCTGCCTTCGTTGGTTGAGGACATCTCCTCTCGAATCTCTACCGTACAGGTCTCAACCACGTTAGCCTTGGGTTGACCTTGAAGACTGCCTTTAGTCACTTGTCGCTCTTGGTCGGTCCGTCGCTGACTTCCCTAAGACGACGACACCATATACAGTGCGGGCTATGGGCACGATAGTGGGGACACTGCATGGGATGGCGATACCCCAGGTGTAGGCTAGCAGGGCAGGGCCTTGGGTAGTGGACTTCATCGTTAGGATGTCCTCACCGGAAACAGTGGCCGAAGCTGTGAGTGTGGTAACCCAACTGGTGCGGCAACACAAGGGGGCAATGCAGGTTGAGGATTATGATGGAGCTCGGAGTTTTCTTGAGAGGATCGCCCGGGAGGTGATGATATTGGCAGAGCAGTGTTGGGGGAATATATATGATCGCTTCCCTCAAGTGAACTTGAAAGTTTCCTCACTAATTATAGCCGTTTCGAGTAGGAGTGTCCAAAAAGCGATGGTAATTTTCCAAAATTTCCTCAAATTTTCCATTTGTCGCCAACACATGTATTTGATCATGTGCATATTTTTTCATACTGTGCAGGTGCTAATACCAGTGCATTTGGACCACCCCTTCAACCTCCATCAAGTCGTGTTGGTCTGCCGAGGGTATCGAGCTCTCAACATACGACTGCCAGCTGTATTCAAGTTCATCAAATTAGCAGTGAAGGTCGATAATAGCAGTTGTAATAAACTGGCCCTAGCTGAGGTAGCTTGATCGTTTCTAATGAGATGGCGTACTGACACTACACAGGTGATGGAGCACTGCATAGCCCTGGGCTTTCAGCAGCCTACGAGTGTGAGTTTATTTCGTGTAGTGTGGGACTATGATGGGAATCTCATCAGTTTTTTGTCCCCATCGTGGAGGCCCTATCCAAGGAGCCGAAGTACTCGAGGACTAGTAAAAAGCTGCAGCAGATGCTTCGGAAGATTCAGAAGGAGTCCCAGAGGGATCGTTCAACTTACCAAGAGCTTGCATGAGTCGTGTTGTTACTTTGACGTTTCTGCATGTGACATCACCAATGTGGCGTTAAAGTACTTTCGACACCTCAGTAGGCTACTACTAGGTCCGAGCAGGGGGCAGACTCTGTCCTCTCTCACTGGAGGCTGTGCTAGTTACAGGACTGTAATGCTGATGACATCAGAGGTATAGTTGGTGGGCTAGAAGGAATCCGCTCTCGGGGGCTTGGTGAGCTCTAGGCATGCAGGCCAGCTTTATCCTAGGGTGTTGTGAGTGGTTTCCTACTAGAAACCGACACCTCCCCTACTACTCCTTCATCATTCACTGCTTCTTGCGTAGCGGTTAGTGATGGTTGTTGTGATCATCGATTTCTGCTATATGATTATCCTTCTTGGTGTTGGACCGACTGGAGAGACGATTCTAGAAGATTGCGTGATTCTTATCAAACCTCATAGTAGTTCACCACACTACGCCGTTCAGCATGAATGAATGCTACTCTACTCTACTAGTACTAGTTCTTCTTTAGTTTTTTTCTCAAACTTTCGAGTCTCCTTCTTGCCGAGGCTTCCTGCTACGGCTCCTATGGCAGAGTCAACCCATTCCTCCACTACTTCCCAAGGCCGACCCAGTGGTGCTGAATCGACAGGCAGCGATTCCGCAACCCCAGAAGGCGCTCCTATTGAGGCTGCTATACGCAGGAGGTCTAAGGAAAGATGGGGTCTCGGCGACAGCGTAGGTGCCTCCCTTATGCTGACTTCTGGTAGTCTTTCTATGTAGTTGTATGTACCCTTATCGTCGGCCAACGAGGGCGCGGAGTATGTTGGTCTGGACGTTTCTGAACATATGTTGAAGTCGTTGATGCAGTGGAGATACAATATAAGTAGAGAGAGCTCAATGGGGACAGGCACACAGAAGGACGGCCTCGTTAGTTTGCTCAGTACTATCTGTTTTAGTATGTTCCTTTCGGGTTAGGCTTGTTCTTCTCATTAGCGTCATTGATATCCTTACAGCGGTCCCTAGCGGCTAGGTTGAGGGCCTCTCCTGCTTCTATGGACGCGCAGTTCTTCTGTTGTGATTCTCCAGACTCCGCGAGGGATTCTCAACCACTAACAGTCCTCGCTCCCGAAGGCATAGTAGGTCATACCGCACCATCGCCACTTTTACTTTCTGCTAGACCGCCTTGCTTCTGGGAGGCGATGAACCTTACATGGAGCCTCGCTCGCCTATTGCCACAGTGAGCTACTTCGACAGCTCCCAACGTAGTCAGGCCCTAGAGAGCATCGGCTATGGCCCTGACCCGAGCACTACGGCTGAGGACAGTAGGGAGGGCGTAGACGAGAACAATGGTAACAGAGGCAGTCATCACCACCCTCGGGACTACCTATGGTAGGTGCTTCTATAGAGCAGTCTATGAGTATTGAAGAGCTCTGGGATAAGGTGGGATGTGATCCGATGTTCTCGATTCACGGTATTAAACATGCCTCAGGTCCTCCACGATACATTGTACTTGGACATAGTAGGGGCGACTAACGCCTGCAACAAGCTCATCATCCATCCTGATGCTGATGACTTCCAAGTAGCTCTTAGCAACCGCATGGGGTTGGTCCTGACCGCGGTCACAAGTGTTACTCTAGAAGGGTAAGTATTGGTAGGCCCACGTAGACTGGCTATGTGCCGCCTACTCAGGGTGACCTGCGTGCAGGACCGCAGTGGTAGCTTCTCGGTATCGGAATTCTCTCTGAATACCACTTCTATGGGGCAGCAGTCTGCGTCCCCTCAGTAGGCGGTCTCCCTTGCTCTGTTCAGTATGCCCAAGTTCAGGACCAACAACGACGAGTACCTCAAGATAGCATTGACGTCTTGCGAGGCGGCCTCAGAGGCATTGGCCAACATAGCTAGCCGTGCACGAGGATATCTCTACCGCATAGGGGACATATTACTAGCTGCTCAAGTCCTCACACATGTACCATGCATGGAGCCTGGGTGCACTCGGTCAATTCTAGGGTGTAGGTCGTCAAGGCGGGTGTTGCTGGAGCTAATAGCTCGGTGGAGGCCTCAACACATGCCATTTCTGAGCAGTTCAAGATCGACTTGGACACTACTCTATCACATACCGAGGAAAGTGTGGACGACTCCGCGCGGTCCAACTGCTCAAGTGAGTGTATTGTTAAGGCAAGTTGAAATGGTTCTCCTACAGGTCCATCTATCCTCTATCGCTTGGCCATGGCCTTGCGGTACCTGTGGGTCGGTCGAGTACATGAGCTATTGGAATCCTCATTGCAGAGTGCCCTCTCGAAGGGCTTGTTGGACAGCCTCCTCGTGTGTGGTGGAGGAGAAGCGCACGCGGGCGTATTTGCGGACATTATCAAAAAGTACAATCCCAAAGCCTGGCCCGCGGCATCATCGGTTTTATAGGTACACTGAGTTGACTCATGGCGACATTCAGTCAATCGCTCTCATTTTCTGCCATGTGCCATTACTAGCCTCTTCTGCACACACAAGGGCCTTCGTTGACGGTACTGTTAACCAGTGAGAAATGCTTGGGCTTTTCTGGTCGGTAGAAGTATCGTCAGGTACTTGTCCATGCTCAATCGATGGCAGCTGTGGTCTTTGCGGTCCGAACTGGAGCAATATCGGCAGCTTAATTCCCCTACAGGGTACTCAGCGCCTCAGCAGATCATATGTTGTTACTATTGTGGAGGTAACCTCACAGGTAAGAGGTACAGCTCCCTATGTGTCTCGTAGAGTATTGCCTCAGGCCAACCCTCTAGAGGACAGCAGGGCATGTCCTCACTTATTATGGATAATACTCGAGATCCATTCACTTGGCGATGTCCTTATGCACGATGCCACAAACCAGTACCGAACTGCGCCCTTTGCTTAATGCCAATAACAATTGTGAATCAAGGTGCAAGGAAAAGGTGAGCGGGTCGCGGCTCTCGGTTGTCGGTTGATTGTTCTGCTCTCACAGAAATGCCGCTCATCGGCTGCCATTGAACGAATGGGTAACGTGGTGCAGTACGTGTCATCACGGTGGTCATCTGAAGCACGTGACAGAGTGGTTCGCGCATCATGATGAGTGCCCAGTCGCTGGATGCGGTTGTTGTTGTAACTCTCTAGATGCACACGATTCTGATGTATAGTTCTTGTATACTGCTCAATATGGAAACCATAATTGGCGGTTGAGTGTTCTCAAGTGAACTCAATTAGATTGTAGAATAAGTAGCGTTTTAATGAGGCACTTGGTTCCTTTGTTTTCACGCCAACGCTACAATGACCCACTTCATAACTATTTAAACACAATATCGATACATTTCAACAGCTGACTTAGCACCCACTCGCAAACAACGAACATCATGAATAGGGGGAACAGCAAATCCATTGCTCTAGACGATCCCTAGGTATGCTAAACATTTTCCGATCGTGATCATACTTTCCCGATCTTTCTGCCGCATTCAAGCTCGCTGGGCACGATGAGCGCGAGATATTTGGACACCGTCTCAAGCCCGCACAGGGACCTGACTTGGGGATATGTTGGAAACGCCATCGCGCGGGTAATCAACATGAGCATAACGTAGGGACATGGACAGCACACCGGCCTCTGTCACTCACTTGCCCCTGCATTCGTGGATGGCCTCGACAGAGGCTACTCGGCCGTTATAAATAAAACGAACTTGGTCATCGAAGTAGATCTCCATCACCAACATACTGCCGAACGGTGGCCAGCTCTTAGCGCATGCATTGCCAGAATCCATCCCTGAGGGACCCACACTCCATACAGCGCAGCATGTACTCCTACAGGTCAACTGCAGTGTGTCGGTGATGGCGTTGGCCGGTCCAGTATCATGACCAAGATAAACCGATAAACGCCTCCTAGTGACAATCAAATCCTCGAGCAAGTCCTGAGCACAAACACGTACAGAAAAACCAGCTCAAGACTTCTCCAAAAGCCTGATTTCACAGAACTCACTTGAATGAAGGGCCCATAGGCGAGCTTTCGAATCTTATCGGATGTACCATAACGATTGATGAACCAGAATCTGACGATAGCCTAGCAAAGGAACCCCAACGGTTGCGACGTACAGCCCCTCCCTCTCAACATGCTTGAATAAGATACTACTCGGGCCTAGACCTCTAGGGACATCCTTGGGCTCACTAGGGACAGTTGAGCAAACGTGGGTAGACAGACAGTCCTGAATGATCGGAAATGAGGAGAGTCGTCTAGCAGTGATCTACTCACGAAGAGCGAATCGTAGATATTGAGCATGTCCCGTGGATTATTGGTATTGAATGCCTCGCTACGACCAGTGATAGACCCCAAGATCGTCCGTTCGGAGCTCGTACGCTCTGCACGTATCTTGGCTTCAGATGAATTGTGGAACTCATCAAGAGCATTCTTGAGATGAGGACACACCTGGGTAGCGGCGAGGGTGTGTGGCAGGTTGCGAGGACCAGAAGCCGGAGTTCGGTAGTCTAGCCTCAGATAATTCTGAGTGATACTCACCGTAGCGCTGGGTGTCAAGGTGTCTTTCGACCTATCAGGGATGATGATATTGAGGGTCGACGGATCACCTGATGCGTGATCACGATGATCTGCTGATGTTCGAGGATCTCACCCTCGACGATTTTCGGGAACAACCCCATGGCCAAAGCTTCAGCGCTCTGGTAGACTCGTGGGACATCAGTTGAGCGAAACATCACTTCGGGCTCCTCCGGGATCTGATGAGCAGATAGGATCTCAAATAGGACCGATCGATGGGAATCGAGGGAGTCGTGCCTCAGACAATTCCAGGGCGGTTCTATAAGCAGCGCCAAGCTGCTCCCCATTGGCGATATTCAATTCAACTCCGGAGTCAACGAGTTGACCTGAGGGAGGCTGGATGACCAGAGGAGGACTATGGTGGTAGTAGCTCACCCAGGAGGCAGCCTTCACCTGGCAAGCCGCTCTTCTCGCCACGGAGGCGAGTGAAACCGGAAGAGCGGCCCACCGAGGGGCTATTGGTGAAGCCAGCGAAGGTCTTAGTCGGGCAGGTGTATCTCGATAATAAGAACAATACCCAGTGCATACTTTCAGCTTGGCATGAGGTATGGTCTTGCCATCAGCCGGACCGCAAGTATCAAATATCTACTTCGTCTCATCCTTGACCCAGCATGTCCTTTCAGCCCAGGGCACTCGAGAACCGTGGCGCGCGAAGACAAGGACCCGTGCCTCGAGAGAAGAATTTGAAAGCCTTCGGAATCAGCAATCCTACCAGTTTTCCCTTCGACCCATCCCCTCCTCGTGGTGGAGGATCATCCCACCTCATTCCAGAGTTACAGTAGTAGGTTGACTCATCCTCCGGAAAGGCAAACGCCACCGTGCAATGGAATACTCCCAGCGGCAGTAATTTACGCCACATGAGTTAAACAAAGAGCCTTCAAGCACGTCGTTAGTACCAATTCGAGCACATGGTGAAAGCAAGCGGTAGATGTGATTGCCAATTTTGGATGCTGGTGCTGTTGAATTGGAGTCCGAAGGCTTCTCAGGGGGAACAATATAGAGAAAAGATTCTCTCATAATTTCCCTCCTCATGTAGGGAGGTTTACTTCTCTTATGAATCTCCTGAGGGTAGTGAGCTGTGTTGATCTAAGATTTGGGTGCCTCCATCAAATTCTCATGAGTGATGGAATCGGACAGGTAACGGACGAAGGTCGAGCGGAACACCTCTTCACTCGACTTGTGCCGCGCGACGACTGTTTCCAAACACGCGCAAAACGGAAAGAATGAATCCTCAACGAGCCAGTGTGTTTCCATTTGCGTTTTCAACACCCAGGTGTACTGCTAACGCTCGTCTGCATACGGAGTTACTGTGAGAGTAACTTCGGGAGTGGGGTTGCCTACAGCTTGGGTCCGAATGAAGAAACGATTCTACTATAGGGGATTTTTTCTGATTATGTCGGAGATAGTGTAATTGATATCAACTAGATCTTCGTCACCCACATGAGCTCTCAACGGGAAGATTCTGGATCACCATCATCGGCGGTCGGTTCTAGCTCTAATTTGCTCGACACGAGTTACTAGTTCTGCAGCATAGAGTATGCTGCATACTACACACACTGTGCTGAGGTTTTGGCGTTGACGACAGATAAGGTGGTTACAGCCTGGAACGCTGCAACTATCCCTCTTCCCAATGACAACACACGTTCCTGAGGGTGCAGTGGTGGGAAGGACTTATGATATGGTGGAGAGAACTGGTAAACGCAGCGTTATGGCACTCAGCTTAGGCATGAACGTCGTTGCTGCCTTCTTTCTGAGATAACCTCCATCTTCCGCCTGTGATACCTACATGATAGTTATCGTCAATCAAACCATTCACTTCTTACCGTCGCTCGTTTGCATTATGAGCCTGTCGTGCCCGATACCAACAAAGCATCCATTCCCCGAGATCATCCGCATCCTCGGCAGAGAACCTGGGCAGCACCCATACGAGTGGTCCAACGCTACCAAGGAGCTCCAACTGTACCTCCAGTGTAGAAGGGCGTATCTTTTATGCGACTCCCACCAGGTCTCGTGTGGGAACAGAGCCTGGTCACGATGATGCCATTGGATGCTGAGACAAGCGACGATACAATGTCTAAATATTTAACGAGCGTTCTCAACCGAGACACCTACGCTTTGGTCGCGGCATAGCCAGCCAGGATGCCGGCTAGATGCCCAACGTATGCTACGTTACTCCCAAAACGCGGAGGAAATCTTCGAGAACACCTGAGTCGAACGAACCGTAGGACAGAAAATAGATCCCTCTTTAATAGCCTCACTGACGGTATAAGATAGCAGGAGCTGCGACAAGGTGGACGGCAAGGTTGATGTCCGCCAACTGCATGGAAGAGAGTGTGGCTCCGGGTATTGGGAATAGCATGTACCACCATCTACATAGGGAGTCAGCATGAGATGAAGGCTATGGTTCTACCTATTAGGTTCCAGGACGGAGAGGCTCGCCAGCAAAGCCATAACACCAGAGCTAGCGCCAACCAGAGGTGTAGCCCGGTTCCGACAGGTGAGGGTCTCTGCCACTGCACCTGCGAACAGCCCCGAGACGTAACTGAAGGGAATTGCTCAAGAGTCATCCACTGAGGAGATCGTACACTGCTCCGAACTCCTTCTCATTCCTTAGGCGATCGTAGAGGGGACAGCCAATGAAATAGAGTAACCAAGTATTGAAGATAAAGTGGGGGAATGTTATGTGAGAGAAACCTGAATGGTGAAATGTCGCGGCTGTGTAGGAGTCTCCTCGCATACCGTATAGTATGCTCTGATGCCAACGACCCTTGGCCATGTCTTCCCATGAGCAAGTGAAATTATTCATCAACAGTCGCCGTAGTCGCTCGCCTCCACGAGGAGTCACTCGAAAACTGAGAGCTGTGCACCTCCACGCACCGTAAACAGCACCTAGACGGAACGAATATTTCACATTGGGTTGGAATCAGCATCTTACAGTTCAGCAGAACCATACCGTTGAGAAGGGGTCTCTCCATGAACTTTGCATGAGCCCAGTAGATGACACCCCTGATAGACGGAGGAGAGCGATGGGCCCTCTGCTGTGAGCCGAGCGATGGTAGATGATCAGAAATGGGTTAAATGATTACGAGGCCGCTATGAGGGGAGGGAGCCTCGAAAAAATCCCTGATAGTTGACTATACACCGTCCAATATCAACTTGTCATGAGGACCAGCGGGAACGCAACCACATCCGGCGCCAACGTTCACAGTGCAATTCGATTATGCACAGTTTTGGTTCGGAAAATAGTCAGTACGGGAGCTGGCCCCTGCCCAAGAAGGGACTCCACCATGGAGAGAAGAACAAGCAATCAGCAGAAGTTGCCAACATCGCGGTAGGTGGGAGCTCTACTGCCTGTCTTTTGGCGGTCCGCAGGTGAAATAAAAAAGCCTGATGGAAGTGAGCTATACCCATCAGGAGAGTATTCACCGGGCACAGCAAACGGCGCTTTGCATGACCATGGCCACATAGGTATGGACAATAGCAGCCTTCAGGTATGGTCAGACGTGCACGATTGACGAGTTATAGTATTGGACTGAATTTGTCACTCAGATGATGCACTTCGCCAAGGTAATCTTACGGATAAACTATATTAACTGCCAGAATGAACGCGGTGTTGGTTGTCCTAAATAGAACGAGTGAGTCTCCAGGCTGGAGGTATGTGGTAGCCTTGATATCGAGGGGGATTGACTGCTGGACAACTCGAGTGTGTTAAAGAGTATCTTGGAGTGGCATAGTTGCCCCACCGGGAGAACACGAGTGTACAAAAGGTGTGCCTCGGGGTGGAATAGTTACCCCGCGTGAAGAACTTGAGGGTATTGGAGTGTGCCTCGGGGTGGCATAGTTGCCCCACGTGATGAACTTGAGTGTTTTGAAGGGTATCTTGGAGGCATAGTTTCCCCACCTGGACAACTTGAGTGTATTGAAGGGTATCTTCGAGTGGCATAATTGCCCTACCTGGAGGACTTGAGTGTACTAAGGTGTGCCTCGGAGTGGCATAGTAACCCATGCGGAGAACTTGAGTGTACAAAAGGCGTGCCTCGGGGTGGCATAGTTGCCCCACGTAGAGAACTTGAGTGTACTGAGGTGTGCCTCGGGGTGGCATAGTTTCCCCACGTAGAGAACTTGAGTGTACTGAGGTGTGCCTCGGGGTGGCATAGCTGCCCCACGTAGAGAACTTGAGTGTACTGAGGTGTGCCTCGGGGTGGCATAGCTGCCCCACGTAGAGAACTTGAGTGTACTGAGGTGTGGGCTAGCTCCCGCAAGCAGTGCCATCACTCGAATATCAACAATCCAGAGATACCAGGTTAGTCTGAGAAGAGGGTGAAAAACCCATTAGCTGCTAGTTGAAGCAACCTCTATTCATCGAGGCATCACTATTAAGCCATCGAGAGGACTATGACGGAGTGGTGCAAAAACAGTTAAGACTGCCCTCATAATACTACCATCTTATCACAGGATTCCTATGGTCGAAATAGCTTCCGATGTCACCCTGCAATCGACCACATAGCCTTCGTGACTCGACGCCTCTAGGATTAGCGACATACATAGCGATGACAGTCTCGAGCGGAAGACCCCACGAACCCCAAAACTTGCACAGCTCATATGCGATCACAGAAACATATAATAACATGTTCGGAATCGAACCTAGATCATCGAGCTCGATCTGGATCGTAGCCATATTTCAGAAGCCACCCTTCCCTCAGGGCTTGATGGAAGCCAAATCGACTCATCCGCGTGTATCTTTCGAGTCGATGTCGGTGCATGGAACGCACACTGGAAAGAGATACCTTTTCACTTCATTAGCATGACCAACTTGGATGTCTCTATTCCTGATCCTATTCTTACCCACCATCTTGTTGGCATCGATACGGCCGAATACCCCGAGATTCTCGAACACTACCTTGTAGACCCTGGTGTTCACCTGATGGCCCATTATCGCAATGAGGGTCAACTGGTTACCTCGGAATCCTTGAAGGCCAACCTGGCCATATGGTCTTTGAGGTTCCTCCGCCGGAAAGTAGGTAGTCCTAAGGGTGCTGCCTGAAGAGTCGGACCAGGATTACGAGCTGCCATCTGGACGGCTTGGAAGGAGCAAACACTCCGCTGCAGAACGCGATTCGCGAGATCATGCAGTCTCTATCGGAAGCCCGCTTGACCGAGACTTCCCGCACTAACACATGTGACTCCCGAACACGACTTTTTGGGAAGAAAAAAAGTTCACGTGTGCTATGATAGACATGCATTACTTCACCAAGTGAACTTTTCAGAAGGCCAACAGCCACTTTGCCGAGAGAGGACAAGTTATGTCACCGCGCCACGAAATTCACAATTCTGCGCCCACGTTGAGTGCTGCGATTGAGGCACTCCATCGGTAAGGTGGTAAACTGTTTCGTAACACTGACTGTGTTTAATGCCGTTGATATCCTAGAAGCTTAATGATTATCAGTTTGCCTAGTTTTTTCAATTATGCTCAGTCTCAGTAGACAAGTTTTGGCTGCCTCTGCCCGCGTGCAGACTACTCTCCCTTCGGTCGTTGCTCTCCAAGCCTGCCGACGTTTGGTGGACAACCCTGGATCCATCGTAGTGCCACAGAATGACACGCTCGGTAGAAGTATCAGTGATTTCAGGTCGACCGGTCTCCGAGTTCTCCTCTGCAGACTATGAGGCAAGCGTTGTTGGTTTCTGGTCAGTTCAAACCGAAGGATGCTAATGAGACTCGTGAGTTCGAGATCATCTTGTACTTGGTTGAGTTCCGTGTGTCTAAGGTTCGTTTGTCGCCGATTTGATCGAGGTTGAGGATATGCTCACTTTCGCTGGGATGAAGACTTTCGTAAGAGTAGCCGCCGTTTCTTATAGTTACTCTCGTTCATCTCAGATGCCTCCGCAATCGCAGAAGCTGTTGAAGCTGACCAGAGTGGAAGCTTATAAGTATCGTGATGGCCGCAGGGAAACTCAGATAGTTCAAGTAAGTAGAGTTGATTCCTTCTCTGGCTGTCAGATAGTGGTTCCTGTTTTCAGACGCTCAAGTCTTTCGGTATGTTTGCTGATGTGGTCTACACCTCTCCTAGACTCACTCATATCAAAGTGGAGTGGATGAAGGGAGCTTTCATCATTCCTCATGAGGGTTGCGATGTAAGACGTGAGAACATCGGCATTGATCAGCAGTCTTCTATGCTTAGGAGGAGAGTCTTCAACGTTACGCTAGGCGGGTCGCGGAGACCGAGGTCTGCAAGGTTGCCATTCTGGACAAATGGGGTGAGTAAATGCGTATATTCTATCGATTTAACCTTCCTTGTTAGATACTGCTATCAACCAGAGGCATTACCTGAAGAACGCCCTTGTCGCCTTGCAAAAAGCAGGCCCGGTGAAGAGACCTGAGAGAATTCGACAGTCACTCTAAATAGGGATGCACGTCTGAGTGTTTTTAATGGTTTCATGTGGTGTAGAGTTTATTTGAGTTTTCACCTATTAGTAGTGATTTGATTGAGATGGGGGTGTGAATGTTCGGTTTTCATGGGTATGGTAGAGTTGAGCTGTGGCAGTTCAAATAGTATGATGTCAATATTATTACTTTACGAGTTTCTTTGAGACTCATCGAGAGGCTGTTCTTTGGTCATGTTCATTATACTCTATTCGGGAAGGTTTGTGGGAATGAATGGTCTAAGGAGTTAGATCTCTGATTGCACTGTAAGCATTTATGTCGCAGATCTCATGGGTTTAGGCGGGTTGTGAAATTGTGATGGTTGGTGGCTCCGCGAGTAGAGATGGTAAGATTGTTGTTAATGGGGTTAATGCTTGACGTCGTAACTTACAGTGGCTGTTCATCATGTTTAGTATTCTATCTAAGGAAGCTGTGTTGTGTAGACGTGTGGAGTGAATCGGATAGTTACCATCCTATGCACCCTGATGGCCGATAATAAGACTAGACCAAGGGATCCACTACGAAGCCCTACACCATCTTCTTACTCGCCATCACCTAAGCATCCTAGAGAGGCCTCGCCTTTTGTTAATAAGGGAGATGAGGAGGAGGAGAATGAGGCCGTCTGGGGGAACTACTACTCGACGTCAGTGATGGACGAGAGGATGGTTTCTGATATAAGGCAAGAGTCATTGAGCTACGACGACTGTCTAGAGGGGTATTTACCTTCACCGATCACTGAGATATCGGGGGTGGGCCTGGAGTGTGTGGCGAGAGCGGTGGAGGAGGTGGAGGTCACTCAGGAGAGTAGCCGTTTTACGGAGGCTAGTGGGGTTGACGAGGCTGACTATGATGTTGGCGTTGTCAGTGATATAGGGGAGAAAGCCTTGGAGGTCCAGTCTGCCTTGGAGGAGGGTGATGGTGAGGAGGAGGGGGGAGAGGGTAGTCCAGGGGCAGCCGAGGTGGTGGATGAGGATGGGAATGATGATGATGAATTCACAGAAGTCGGCATGGGAGCCGCTGGGGATGATGATGATCATGATGGGAATGCCCCTGAGGGTTACCAGGTCGAGGAGGAGGAGGAGGAGGATGCAAGGCAGGTGGTGGAGACGTCTGTGGTGGGAGGTGATCAAGGTGAGCAGCAGCAGTATGGTGTGGAAGAAAAGGATGCTGCTGCTGCTACTGCTGCAGCTGCCGCTTCCAATAGTACTGCTACACATGCCCAGGATGGAACAGACCTTCGTAGGGCAATGTCCCGTCTAGTGTTTTGTGGTAGTGTGTTCGTCTGTAGTGGCCGATGAGCTGATCGCACCAGAGGCCCCTTTCCCAAGCAACCCTGCAGAGGCCCGATTGCTACTACAGAAACTCACTGAGGCTGAGAGTGGTTTGTGTGGTAAGTCGAGGCTTCTCTGTGTGGTCATTATTACTCCGTAACAGTATCCACGGCTTTCCTCCAATCCTTCATCGACCAGTTCATCACCACACTCCCTCATGAGATATGCTCCTCCATAGTGGAAGTGAAGACATATAAAAATGTGCAGGAGATGACCATGGTGTGTGCTACCTCGCATCACTCTCCCTCTCATGCGGCTTGGGTAGGTTATCAGACATACGCTTAGACAGTTGCACAAGAGGAAGGAGGCCATACCGGCTACCTTTGATGTCCTTAAGGCGGAGGTCGAACTCTCTGAGGAGTTGAGGAGGATGTGCACCTTTATCCACACTGGTGAGCTCAGTCCAATGGGAATGCTCAGTGACCCACGTCGTTCAGATGATGGATCGGAGGAGCTCACTCTGGAGCATTGGAATAGGTTCAGACCCCTGTCCATACCCTCAGTGTGTAGGAATCTGGCTAAGTCAGGACGCTTGCGGAAGCTGATCCAGGTAGGGGTATATGCATCGCTCCGCTAGATGATAGTAGTACCAGGTCACTTGCCGTCATGTTCGAGAGCTGTCGAGAGAGCAATGGGTGGATCTGTGTATCGTCCTCAACATCAACGAAAGCAACTTTGAAGGTGTGTACCAGCGTATATAGCCACACTGTATCATCGTTGTTGTGGTCAGAGGTGGTGGAGGCCCTGGTCCCATGGGTGAAGCATTTTGTTGTACCATACGTGAGTAATCTGAGTGGTGGCTTGGGCACAGTGGCAGCTATTGTCGAGCATCTGAAGTCCCTAGTAGAGTGGGCTACCTCCGTTGCTCTCCAGCATGCCGTGGACTCTACGGTGAGTCGGTTACAGCCAGGAATGGCTTGGACTTGAGCACACCTTCAGGCCGGATATGCGTTCGCTGTGGACCTCTTGAAAGGTGTCATAGCCGCGGTCAAGAGAGCAATAGCTGTGCCTGATGCTGAGGTCCCCCTGAGTCGGACTCCCCTCCATTGGGTAGCTCTGGCGCCGCCCATGTGAGATGAATTTTCCGTCAGGCGGCCCTTGGGCACCTCAGAGGGCTCATGGACAAATGTACATTCTTGGAGGAAGCGGAAACGCTGTTGAAACGCCTTCACTTGTGTCTAGAAGTTCGACAGTCTTTTGGGATCCCGGTGGGACCTTCGGGTGTACCCTCCGCCCCTGCCGATGGGCCTTCTTTAGGTCAACTTGTCGGACATTCCAGATGATGCAAAGTTGAGGAGGGAGTGGTTCGGCCGTGCAGGCTTGGCCCTTCTCAAACGAGTTCCTACCGATAAGATCCGGTGAGCATGCAAAGCACTCTTTATTGCTCTTATGTGGTTTTCATCAGATCTATTGTGGAGGACTCTTTGTATCCTCTGGGCCAGCGTATGGACCTCGACTACCCGGTCGAAGAAGCTGTCACTAACATACTGGCGAGGTATGCCTGTATGGGAGCTAGCGAATTGAAGGTTATTCTTTGAAGTTATGCGGCGCATGATCTGGCTGAAGACTCTGTGGATCAAACAACTCCTTCCGACTTTGCTAGAGTGATGGCAGTATTCGTGTGCATGCGTACAGATTCTAGCCGAGCTCGGTGAGACCAGTATGTGGGTAGTGAGTGACTTGTGTATTGTCGCATCGGGCAGGATACTGCCGCATTTGGTATGGATAGCAGTGAGGTGTGCTACCTCGGGAGAAGGCAGTTCGGATGAGCTAGAGGAGGCCGAACGCATGTGAGTCGTGGCCCCTGGGAGTTCCTAGTTCCCTCGGACGGACGTTTTTACGCACAAAAATAATCGTCTGTTGACGTTAGATGTGAAGAGGCTGAGAGTTGGGACCTGGAGGCAGAGGATAGGGCCGGGGTAGCTGCCAACAAGATGAGGATACTCCTCCACAAGGAGGCCCGACCGTGAGCCACTGCACTCCGGCACTTGTGATGGTATTCTCCAGCCATCTGCCGTATGACTCCACTACGACTTATCCGGATGCCCTCGATGCTATGTTGCCCACGCCCCAGGTGGTCTTCCTAACGGTGACCCATCTAGTAGGCTGAGGTGCTCGAGAGGAGGGGGTGTTATCATCATCATTAGGCCACACGTCTCGACGACGACGAGGCTTTCCGTGCTGCACTACGCATTGCTGATGAGTGCCGTAGAGCCAGGGAGGATGAGGACGGGCCACGCGACAAGGTAGTCGTGGAAATGCCTCTGATTAGTACTTGTCCGTTTTCAGTTATTGGCTCGCTTTGGTAAATGCATATGTCCCTCGGAAGTATTGTGTACCCGCTTCATATCTGTATTCGAGCACAGTCTGCGCCCGGGCCCTACCGAGGGGGACGTGTTGGAGGGCATCACGAGGGCCTCTGCCGTCTTCCGAGAGGTGAGCATTACGCCAGGTCTGCAGCAATGCCGCTGTGGCAATGTCAGACACTCCCGTTCGAGTCACAGCTCTCGGGCCTTCGGTCGTTCATAACCCTACTCTGGACTCGTTGTGGCGCTTCGTCCCTACACCGGCTACCGCTCTACTGCCAGACCGGGATTATGGCCGCTAAGATTGCTCTAACAGAAGGGTCAGCTACTTGTGAGCTATATGCACTGTACTGTGTGCTGCTCCTCAGGTCGGACACTATCATACAAGACCGTGGACGATGCTTTCGCCGATCTCTGTGTTTGATCGAGGAGTTCGGCTTGGAGGTACTTGACAGCAGCAGCAGTGCGGGAATTTGTGTATGTGCCAATTTGATATGCAAAAATGTGTGTTATTCTTGAGGATGGATGATAGTGAACAAGTTGTCGCTATCATCACAGTCCCAAACGGGTACTCTCATCACAACACATGTTCATAGCCATCGTTACTTGGTATATGCGATATAGTTCCAATCGATTATCACTAATCACGGAGAATAGCACACACTTGCATATGAAATTGACGGCCACTGTATGTGCACATGGTCAACTACATGCGTTGGTGCCAAAATGAAAATTCTGAGAATTTAGTTTGCTGATTTTTACCAAAATCATATGTGGATTTCATAATATGGTGAGGGAACTGAGAACATATTCCAACACTGCTCAGCAGAAGGCTAGTGGTGTGTTAGGTCCTGCCGAGGGACCTTTGGTACTCTATCTCCTCCTCGTCCGCGGGGACGGGGGAGTCGGACGATCACGAGGAGGAGGAGGTCTGTGCGTGGGCTCCAGCGGGAGAACGTGCCAGGATGAAGTTGCAGAAACTGTGAGGAGAGTCGTGACCTGCTCGTCGTTGTATTTCCCCTCCCTATGTCAGTTTCCGAGATGCTGTTATTGGTCCTGCGACGGCGAACTGTCGGCCTACCCGCCTGTCGGAGCTCCTCGGCATTCCTCGTCGTACAGCTTCTTATATCATGGCCTCTGCCAGGTGAGGACCAGTATGTCCATCTCGCCAACATCATGGATCAGGGCGAGCGAGACTGTGCCGGCCTCCCCTACAGCTGAGGAGGGGTCGGTGGGCAGCAACGCACTTTTGGATGGGTCTGCTCGATCGTGCCAGAGGGCCCTGGAGTACATCCGGAAGCAGCTCGAGGAGCATCTACTCGGTATGGTGGGACATGATAGCTTCTCGCATGTGGAGCGGCCGTCGGTGGACAAGCTGTCGGCCTTGACAAAACTGGCGGCGAGGTTGACAGCGGTATGTGATAGTAAAATGATGGTGAATGAGGATATTCTTGACACTGTCCGGAGGCTCCAGTTGGCGACTAGATTGGTGGCCGCTTCGGACGCTGTGAGTGAAGAGAAGCCCTTGACAGACTACAAGGTATGTTAGTGGTGATACTATGAGGGGATTGACTTGTGCTTGATAGTCGTTGCTTTATTCTGTGCTCAAGTGGTGCTCATCGCCATCGTCCTTGATGCCCGCGGTGGAGACCTTCCGTGCGGCCGTTGAAGTAGCGTGTGGGGCTGATTTGGATGCTGATGATGAGGAAGGCGACGACGAGGAAGAGGAGGAAGAGGAGTAGTACTTGCTTTCTTTACAGGGTAATCTATCTCTTGTTGGTAGTTTCTTTTCGGATATCTTGGCCTCGCAGAACTGGTCCATCGCGGCGGAGGTGGCTTCCTCTAGGCGCCTAGATGTCCTTGCCGAATGGCTACGTCGCATAACCAGTAGTGGCTATTTCGAATGTTTGGAGTGGTAGTGGTAAGCTCGTAGATACTGGAGAGGAGGAGGATGCGTTGCTCATGCTAATGCTGGGCCTGTCACTCCCTCAAGCTGTCTCTGAGGATACCTTCGACAAGGCCATTATGGAGAAGAGGGCGTCAGGCCAGGTGGGACCAGGAAATCATTTTGAATTTTCTACATGGCTAGGAACACGCTCTTCGAATAAATTCCCATGTAAATGTGGCATTGAGGACACTTTCCTCTTCATCGTTATCACAGCCTGGGGAACATTATCTCTCAAGGCTAAATGGGTCCCTGGGCAGGACCAGTGTCATTGACTAGTCCTTAGGCGTCGCTGTCTAGCTTCTTGGCGGGCACGGCGAGCTGGCTCCCCCTCCTGCGAGAGTTCCTACCAGCAGACGCCCTTGAGCAAGAGGTGTCTCGTCTACAGCTAGCAGACACTTGTACAGACCTCACCGTGGCTGATGCGACGCTCGCTGAACAGCCTATGGGGGGAGCTATTGTGAAGGCCTTCGAGGACAACGCTTATACGTGAGTCCATGTTCAATGCATGGATAAACGTTGTGATTTAGGTTGTTCGCGAAGAAGTGTTTGCAGGACCGATGGGCTATATACTGTTCTGAGCTCTCTGTTGAGGTCGACCCGGTTTGCTTGGGAGAGGGCAAGGCGGAGTACCTATGGCCTCTCATGGTGAAACTCACTGCGGCTGGTGCTGAGCTGGCGTCTATACAAGTCTTGGCGAAGGATTTCCAACTTCCACAGTGGGAGGCGTCCCTTTTGTGGTGTAGTACGGTGATACAGGAGCATCAGGGCGAGGATAGGATGGACCTGGCATGGGCTGAGATGGATGAGCTCATTGGACACTATCGGACTGAGACACTCCGGGTTATTGAATGCGAGATCCTCGGTGTTGTGCAGGACTTGTCCCTCATCGAGAAGGCCTTGGCTAGACTACCTGAGGGGCCTTTTTCGGCTCATAGGTTTGCTGCTAAAGCGATACGGGACTATGAGACCAAGACGGGTACTGTTGGTAACCTTACATTGAGGAAGATGGTTGAGGACCCTCAGTGTGCTCTTATGGCTGAGCTCATGGACCGTAGCCTCACTACGGTGGAAGCTATCCTGGAGGTGATAGGCCCGGAGTCGGCAGCAGGGTTCATCTCGGATGCCAGCGAGTATATACTCCATCACTCAGAGAGGCAGAGTAATGGGGTGCTCACTGTGGTTTATGGCGTTGGGGAAGCTGATACGGACGGCTTCCTACGTGTAGAGAATCGACTAAGTACTGAGCCTGACTACTGGACAGTGGCTATCAGTGAACAGCTACTCCCCCTCATTGACAAGTTGAAGGATATAATGCCCACTCGGGCGAGCGAGATCCTCAAGGTGTTTAGTGATATGCTCCCGGTGTGTGTGGATAAGCTGAGAGCATGGCAGAGGTTGAAAGCCCTCGAAAAGAAAGGGGCACCACGGCACAGATCGAGCGCGGAGATCAACGCTCTTGAGACCAGAGTGAGCGACCCAGATATGGGGAGACCTATCATCCTTCATGTTCGCCAGATTCTACTCAGAGGATACCCGAAGTATGCGCCTTTCGAGCCGATACTGGTAGAGCTAGGCCCTTGGGCTTGCGCAGAGGCCATCGGTTATACTGGCCTTGTTGAGGAAGGGACTGCTGATGAAGCTTATGAGGTAGTGCAGCGTACTAGCAGTGGGGTCGTGGGCATCTCTGTGTAGCTGCTGACGGAGGTCCTGGCGCTGAATCGTGTCAAGTTGGGTGTCACCATGCGAGAGCTGGCCGATAAGTGGGTGAAGACTCCTGGGAGGCAGGAGCCGTGGATGAAGATAGTGAAGCTCCAACGGTAGGGGTGGCCGGTGTTGTTGTTGTGACTGGCATGGCTTGAATCTTAGAGAGAAAGCACCGAAGTGCGGAGTTGATATCTTCGACCGAGGACAAGTTGATAGAGACGACATTCAGCGTGTGGTGAATCTTCTTAGTCGATATAAGCAGGCAACGGACCTTGCCAAGGTGATGGTCATGTTGACTATCTTCTTTGAGTGTGGGCCTACGAGCACTCCAGCCTCGAGGAGCAGGGCGGGAGATATAGTACTCCGAATTAGTGACATCAGTGACATTGAGAGCGGCTACAACCACGAGGTGGACTTCCTAGCGCCCATTAGGGCATTCTATGCCTACGTCGACGCTGCTGGACGAGTCCTTGGGGATTCGATCGTCCGAACATTGCCGACGTCGGATGCGACCTTCGCTGAGGCCAAGAAGAAACAGATAGCTAAGACAGTTCTCGCGGTTAAGTCGGTCCATGCGGCGGAATTCGCGGCGGCCCTCCTGATCGACTATCCTGAGGATCTGGGGTTCGATTCTGAGACTTGCGGACTCATTTGTGAGGTCCTGAGGCTCCTGCCGGAGGAAACGGCGGTTGGTACGGTGAGGAAGCTGATCGCCAGCGGGCAGCTGTCGGCCTTACCCTATCATAGAGATCTCAACCTTCTCCTTGCACACCTCGGCTTTGAGTACTCTAGGTCCTCTTTGGGCCCATTATTGGAAGCCTCTGTGGCTTGGGTAGAGGCTGAAGAATGATGCAGCTTAATTCACGACTAATTGCACTCATGGTTATTGCAGCATAGTCTGTTGTGTTACACTGGCAGTACCAATGAGTAACGTGGCTGTCGATGGTGTATGGGCTTTTGCGTGACGGGTCCTCGCGATGTTCAACCAATCGTTGCCGTTAAGGGTATCGAAGGAGTGAGCGCCATGTTGCACACCCTCAAGACACAGACGATTATACGAGGCTTCGACGGCAACTGCATGTGGCAACTGATTTTGAATCATATTTTTCTACTCGTAGCCTATATCATCCCGCTTATACAACACGTCTTATCGTGTATCACAACGGCATATGCTTTTGCTCCTGGGATTTGGAAATAAGCAATGAGCACCTTGATAATGGACAGCAAGAAGACTTCCTCCGAAGGCTTCATACACGGTTGCATTTACACAAAGAGCTTGTAACGGATAGTAGGAGCACGAGTTCGCACCGGTTTCGTCATGTCATAGTATGACAGTCATACCCTGTGATATCATCGAGGTTTCCACGTTAAATTGCGGCATCTCACCAAGATAAACAGATAGCATGTCGAATATCTGCATGCGTCCTATCAAACTCATAACTCAACTCGACATTAGTTGGTGAATTGTATTCGAATAAACAACCATTAGGCAGCCCACAATGATACCACACAGGAATGGTACGATACTGAAGGTTCTCACTACCATCGATGGTGTCGGCACTGAATAGCACAAAGTCACAATAGTATTACTCACTCATAGAGTAGAGGAAGACACACCAAACTCCATCATTGCACCATAGGATAGTATCAACAACAAGCAGCGGTCGGATGAATACAAAGCGTTGACTGCAAGACTACAACGTAGTGCATAAACGAGAGATTGTTGGAGGAAGACCACGAGAGAGAGAACGGCTGTTGAAGTTGACTTGTCGGGAATAGCGGTCATCGGCCAGCATGATGGAAAACTTGGCGGCAACTTTTAGTGCTGGAATTACTCCAAAAGGGGATTCTTACGGATGGGGCTCATCAGGGGTACCATCTGGTGCATGTAGACGAATGCCCAACTGAGAAGAGATCAGTCAAAGGGAGGATAAGCAGCGATGATGCACTTACAACATCCACATGCAAATAGTCGTTAACCATACGAGAAGGATGGAGAGTCTGATGCCTGAGGAAAGAGGTGGTGACCTCATCCGACAATCACGCGGAATCACTTACTCTCGCCCTTCGTAATCTTGGGGGTCTCCTTAGCGAAGAGGATGGGGGCCACAAAGGTGAACACTACTCCCAATACGGCAAAGATGATGGTACCGGTGATGAGACCTGAAAGGATGCGATACTGGTCGGAGCTTAGGAAAGAACGCCGCCTCTTACCGGGGGCATGGAATCCGAGAGAAGCGGGAGCTACAGCGACTGCACTCATGATGACAGTTCCAAAGGAATGTGGGTAAGCAAAAAACTCCTGGAATAAGATTTGGTAGCAGTTTCCAACGAACTCAGAGGGACTCCGAAATGCTGATTCCGAAAGCATGACTAGTAAATTCAGTAGCAACCAGTCCGAAAATCACTTCAGTCAAGCTGCGGTCGTCGAATGGTTGAGGAGATTCAAGAGTGCAAGACGCTCTGAGCTTAACGTAGGTTCGACTCCATAGTATTTACCGGTAGCAATTGAACTGAAGCTCAGACATGGCTCCAAGTCGAGATGTAGTCGTCTAAGATTGACACCGTCTTTGAATCGGCTCATATGGTATCTAGTACTGCGGTCATTTCATCAAAAAATTTTAGAAAATCGAGGAAACGCGCTGTACAATCTAGAATGGCTATATAAGGCTTAGCTGTCCGTGCATGGCTAAAGTCTTTCAATATGATGTGTGGTTGTATAGAGCTTGTAATTTATGGTCTATAGAATCGTATTATATAACACAAAGAATATACCTTTATGACGTTCTTGCTGGGTACATCATGCATATGGTTGATTCCCCAACTACGTCTCTTTGCGGCTTCCTGTGGGTTAATTGCTCTCCTTCATTTTTGCTAGCACGAGGAATGTAACTTTAAGTTCGACGAATTGGCGTTGATGCTTGCGCTAGTGTACATCTTGGCTTGGCATAGTTGCCCCATCCAGAGAAATTGATTACGCTAAGGTATACCGTAGGGTGGCATAGTTGCCCCATCCAGAGCAATTGATTACGCTAAGGTATATCTTTGGGTGGCATAGTTTCCCCAACCAGAGCTGACGGTACTCAGACATATCTTAGGGTGGCATAGTTGCCCCAACCAAATGAATTGACTGTGCCTAGGCATATCTTAGGGTGGCATAGTTGCCCCAACCAAATGAATTGGCTGTGCCTAGGCATATCTTAGGGTGGCATAGTTGCCCCAGCCAAATGGATTGACTGTATCCAGGCATATCTTAGGGTGGCATAGTTTCCTCAACCAGATGAACTGACGGTACTCAGGCATATCTTTGGGTGGCATAGTTGCCCCAACTAAATGAATTGACTGTATCGAGGCATATCTTAGGGTGGCATAGTTGCCGCAACTAAATGAATTGACTGTATCTAGACGTATCTTAGGGTGGCATAGCTGCCCCAACTAAATGAATTGACTGTATCTAGGCATATCTTAGGGTGGCATAGCTGCCCCAACTAAATGAATTGACTGTATCTAGGCATATCTTATGGTGGCATAGTTGCCCCAACCGATTGAATTGACTGTATCTAGGCATATCTTAGGGTGGCATAGCTGCCCCAACTAAATGAATTGACTGTATCTAGGCATATCTTATGGTGGCATAGTTGCCCCAACCGATTGAATTGACTGTATCTAGGCATATCTTAGGGTGGCATAGTTGCCCCACTACTGACAAAGCAGAGGCGAGAGGTGGGGACTCTATAGGCCAGCTCCTCTAGCTTGGAGCTACCGGACGCATTATCCCACGATGGAGCTTCGGTTGTATACTATTTTACAAGGAAATGCCTGATACCTGTTCGTACCCGCCTACATATCAAAGCATGAGAGTGTGTCATCGTGAACGGACCCCAAGAGGGTTCCGCTTCGGGGCACCTCCAATGAGGACACGTGAGGCTCGCTATATCGAAGCACAGATGAGGGACCGTGCAGTAAGAATCATTCCAGTTCTAGGCCAGTATTCAAATATGAACTTTAGTTGCCACTCGTGCAACATATGACGGGCATTCCCGAGAGGTAACGTTACGGCTGGGGTCGAACGTTGGGGGAGAGTTCAATCTCAGCCCGTCCCCTCCAAGAACAAAGAAAGCGCCCGCTAGAGATGACAGTGAGAGCCGCAAACGGGATTACTTCAGACGAAAGCCGCTCTCTTAGACGAGCTCATCGAGAGCTGCCGAGGTACACCCCTCCACGACATGTACCTTCAGGCTGAACAACTACTCTCGGGGTTGGAGGAAACTCCTGATGAACAATCGTTGTCGAAGAAGAAGGTGCAGCTCATCTGGATAGGGACGCATCAAAGTCTATCTTTCAGGCGTTGACTCAGCTCGTTGAAGCTGGTGCATCGGAGCTCGTGAGGCGTGCGAAGGTAACAGGTGGAGGTCCAATCGAACAAGGCAGGTTTACTCCCCGTCAGTTCGATGGAGAGACTATACGGCAGAAGGAGTCAGCCGAAAAACGTAAGGTCCGAGAGGCCAGGAGACGAGCTAGAGAGGAATGCCTAATGGGATGGAGCGTTATGCATGGTGATTCGAGGTGGGAGTTTCGCTCTGAATCCTCCATGGTATATCCCGCATCCTTCAGCATCCCCTACACTAACACTTCCCGTGCCCCCAGTGCCTGCCCTCGTCCTCAAATACGACGGTCTACACGGCGTCAGAGAGCTCGAGAGGCTGCCTAACTATTGCCAGAAGGCAAGTGCTCATTCGATTGTCAACCTATAGAGAATTCCGTAAAGGGACCTTACTGCTCTACGAGCAGTATATTATTTCATCCATAGTCTATAACCCCGTCTATACAATATACATCGCCATGTATCACCCCCGTATGTGTCTCGCTCGGATCCAATCATTGAGTTACCTCAAGTTAGTACCTGGAGAAATCAGTGGTGTAAGCTTGATATAATCTCTGGTATGTCGAACAGCAATACGTCAACAATTGATATGGGAGATACCGAGGGCTGGGTTTGTGGTGACCATTGTGCCCTCTTCGACTGGGACTGGGGTCTTAGAGTCACCTGGCAGTGCTTCATTGTGTGTCCAACCCTGCTTCTACGGCTCTACGGTGTGCCATCTTAGGTATGGCTCATCGTTGCCTGTACGGGGCTTTTCCTAACGCAAGCTGCGAGATGGGGTAGCACGTCGGTCGAGAAGCTCAAACGACAGTTGAGTGTTGCGGAAGTAGTCACCGACTGAGCTCTTGTGGGTTCGACATCCTCTATAGGGATACACTCGAGGTTCCTACCTTTACCTCGGGTTCGTCATAATAGGCTCTCTCTACCAATGTTGCATCTTTGCTTACCAATCCTATACCTGGACCGCTCATACGTAAGCTTGGACCCTGCCAAAAACCACTCACATAACGTCTCCTATTCAGCATCAGCTATTCCCTCAACTTCTTCATAGCTATACTATACGGTCTGGAAACCATCATGTTGTGCTTGTTGTACATCACACAAGGCACTGCTGTTTTTCTCAAGCACTCCCTCAGCTCGGTGAGCACTGACACTACCATCCACGTTGGCCTATGGCTGGAGCCCTTGAGCCCTCCGCAGGTGTTCGTCGCTGTGTTCGTTGTGGTATCTGTAGTGGGGCAGTCTGTCTGGGTCGACGACTTTGGCTTAAAGACATGGTTCTCTTTCGCCTTCTTCGCCAGCCTAAGGGTCTTCCAGAACTGGCATCTCTTCTTAGCAACCGCGGGCTTCCACAGTGCCGACATCAACATGCAGGTTGGTCACTCATTGTCTATACCTCAGCTCCAAGAAGTTCCTCATTTCCCATGCCTATGGCGTGTCCTTGCACCGCATCCTCTATTCTCAGATAGTTAACGTTTGCATCGGGGCAGTATGTTGGGTCTACTTTGCTTCATGTGTGGTCATGACGTTGGAGAACCTGGAGGTATCCAGACGTGCCTCCACACCCCTTCCTTGTAAGCTCCCTGGTCAGGACCCTCAGTGGCTCCTAGTGCTCCAACCCACTGCAACGAGTTGGACATTAACCTCATCTTTTTACTTCATCATGGTTACTATCTCCACCGTGGGGTATGGAGACCTCAGCCCTAGTACAGCACTAGGTCGAGTTGTTGCTGTTTGTACGGAGCTCAGTCGAACCTCCACTTCGTTTCACATCCCCTGAGTGCTTTTTAGGGACGATTCTTGGAGGAATCGCGGCCTTCTCATATGCGGTTAACAAGTTACTTGAAGTCTACGGCCTCACTAGATCCGGTCGAGGACGCTATCCTTTGAAGCGACGATATCGTCACATAGTGGTTGCCGGTACGGCCCGGTCAGTATTGCTCCCGAGAAACATCTTGCAGGGACACCTTCCACTGAGATGCTCAAGGACTTCCTCTCCGAAATATACCATGCGGATCATGCTGATGACAGCGAGGATTTGGAAGTGGTTCTACTCTTTCCTGGTCAAGGCAGCGTGATGCAGTCTATGAGCGAGTCGGCGTTCCTGCTTGTCTGTTCGCTACTTTCTAGTCGTACACAGATATCTACGTCAGAAGGATAACGTCCATATGCGATCGAGGGTGTACACCTTGCAAGGTAGCCTCTTAGAGGCTACTGATATGCGTCGCATTGGAGCTACACGTGCTGAAGCATTCTTCATCCTTCCCAGTATCTTCTCCTCGAATCCAGTAGACGCCCCTCTTAGTTGGACCGGCTCTATCCTCGTCTAGGTCCAGGACGATACTGAAAACCTTGTACGCTTCTTTTCGGTTCGGAGATACAATCCCAACGCAAGGATTATCGTCCTTCTACATAAGGCTGAACACAAGGACATTCTCGGAAGCGAAATGCTAGGTGGTGGCGCGGCCATGCCAGATGTACCGTTAGTCTACCGCTCGTTGCGCAACTCGTATCTAAGGTCGATGAAGAAGACATGTCGGAGCTCACAACGCTCATTTGCATCGATCAGTTCAAGCTAGAGCTTATAGGAAAGACCTGCCAAGTAGGCATTGATTGTTGTTCGCCGTAGCATCGATCTCCGCAATTAGTCGCCAGGTCCCGGGCTTCTCGACTCTCATTTGTAATCTATGTACATCTGTGAGCGATACAGAAGCTCTGGAAGGAACACCACAATGGTTACAGGAGTACGACGCTGGCCTTGGCAACGAGCTATACGAGGTTGTCATGATGTGTATGGCACTCATAAGATCGACTGCAGGTTCCACTCTCCCCAGCATACTACGGGCAACCCTTCGGTCTCTGCTGTTTGGATGTCCTTAACCGTAGCGAGAATCGAGACGTCTACCTCATAGGTTGGGCTATACCACTCCTCTTCCATCACTGCCTTATTCGAACCATGACCACCTATTGACAGGTCTCGTTGAACGTAATGTGATGAACACTGGAGGGAAGGTGATCACTATCAATCCCGGATCCGACTACGCAGTCATGGACTCCGAGGATCATACCGGCGTTTACGGCATCTTTATCGCCAGCGATCGCGACGCTATCGTACAGAAAGGCTGGCGTAACCACAGTAGTTCGATATTCATATCAGTTTGTCGACCCTGCTTAGGTCGGCGTAGTGATCAATCCGACGGCTATAGTGACGAGGTGTCCGAGGTTAGTACCCTTCCGGACCCCCTCGGTAGATTTCGAAATGCATCATACAAGGGAGGGATAGTCGGGAACGATCACCGGAGGGTAGACAATCTCTGGACCATCCACATGTGAGAGCTTGCAATACAGGGAGCTAACAAAAACAGTGCAGTGTTGAGGATGAGCGCATCTATGAAGAAAGCAGCGACCCTGGTAGAGGAGGCCAACTTCCATATGATGTCTATGGCACAGCTGTCCAGGGCGCCGCCCAATATCAAACAGTTGGTGTTCTTGGACAAGTTAGAGAAGGTCCAATTTCGGCGGCCATTATACCTCCTCATCAACATCGATGCAGGCTTCCAAGATCCCACCAGCGGCGCCCGAGGACGTGCTCGCTCAAGGTGGTCATGTTATACTTACTGTAGCTGGAGGGTCCTCAGCAGCAAGGGAAGGAGAGAGTTCGTTCCCCTTAGTGGTCATATGTATAGCCATACGGATCAGGTGCCAAGATAGGACTGGAGCATTTCGTATCACCAATGCGAGCTGCCTATTTCGCTGAGGCCACCCCCATCGTGGTATTGGCTCCCTTTATTCCCATGGACTGGAATACAGTGTGTTACTCACACGTTCCTTGAACCAGTGTTCCTTGCCCTTGATATCAGGTGGCCAGGTTCCCCGAGGTGTACTTTGTCCAAGGCTCAGCGCTATCATTGTTCGATCTTGAGCGGGCCAACTTCCGGCAAGCTGCTACGATACTCGTATCCCAGTTGGGATCGGTAGTAGCCCATCTAGAGATCATGCTTACACGCGTCATAATGCAGACTAGGCCTAGTGGATCAGCACAGGACCCCTACATGGTCGATGCAGAGGCGATTTTTACGGTTAGGCTCATCGAAAGCCATTTGCCCAAGGTCAACATCAGCCTACTTCGGCCTATATCATGTGGTCAGGGATCGGAGACAATCGTGGTGGTTGAGTTGGTATTCGATGAGAACTATCACTACCTACCACACCCCGCCGACATCACCGGACGCCGACCATCAGGAGATGTTGGAAGGCGATCAACATCATCGTCAGCAGGCTCCGTAAAGTCACACGATAGGAGGGTATCACACTAGAGATACGCTAGGAAGGGAACTGATCGAAACCTCAGGTATCCAAACTGTTCCGCAAGAACCGGAATGTCCTAATGCAGACTCATGCTTGTGAGCGTGGTTTGAACCAAACCGTTCGAAAGCCTATCGATAGTCGTTTGTCTCATAGTCCCTATCGGGGAAGATCGAGACTTCCAGTCGGTGAACACAACCCTCGATGCTGATCTGCCCAATGCAAAGCAGGCAGGTCGCTCTCTGGATACCTCCCGAAGCATCCTTTCTAGGCCAAGATTGCCCAACCAGAAGAGTATTTCAGACAGCCTAGGTTCGCCTGTGGTCAACTGTATGTGGGATCTGTTGTGACATCCCTAGTCGCCAACACCTTCTATAACCCAAGTTTGGCCTTACTCGTACAGCAAATGATATCTAGCAGAATACTTATGGTATGTTGAGCTCTGTGATAACGTGCCGTCCTCATCGGCCAGGTCCTCTTGCCTACCGCTTGGGCTGGCCGGGCTTACCTCGACCTCTTCCAACATCTCATACTGGACAGGAACCTCCTTGCAATTGGGCTCTTCCGAACTGCTGATTCTAGCGTGAGTTTGACGCCACTCATGAAAGAGATCTCTCATCATCGGTAGACGAGCAGCTCGAAAGCATTGATGTAAGGTTCTCACTACTGGGCCAACCTCAACTGATGCGCGTGCACGGATTAGCACTTGCAGTCATCATGGTAACTATTGAAGCCACTTTGTCGTTGCCATGTTCTGCGTGTCCTCAGAAGCGTCATCCGGAAGGTAATCTTGAAGAGCGTGAAAAGTTCTTACAATCGTATAGCGGGAATAGTCTGTTTGCCATTCAGCCACTCCTACGTCTATACCGCACCAACAGCCTTCACATTGCTGGTAGAGAGCGACCAAATCCTATGTGTCTGTGTGCCTACTTCTGATGATGCAGAAGTTGACGGACACCTTGAGACGGTGGGTTATCGTGAAAACTCACAACGATGCGTGCTTGCTCTCACCGTCATTGCTTGCTCATAGACTATATCTTGCAGGACCACACGAAGGGCTGATGTCACTGTTTTGATGATCAAGACATTTATGGTGGTATGTGTTTCTCCACGTAAATTACGAGAATGTCTCACTGTACTTAACTGAGATATCGAGTTTGGAGTTCAAGCAGACACCACAGCATTTCTCGGGTGCTGTTCTCCCTATAACCAAAGCTACAGTGTTCAGGCTGAACAAAACTGTCCGGCAACTTCATACCTGTGACTCGATGAAGAACACCAACCAAGTTCAAGAGGAAACAATACCAGAAATGGCGTAGATGAACCTGATGCGGTCAGCAATACTAGCATCGAGCTCGAGAGCGGTCATTCCTAATAAAGGGGCAGGCAATGAGAAACCTGACAGCGTAGGGAATATATAATTACATTTGAAGCCTATTCGGACTGTTATTTCCACTGAGTAATAATCAACTGTAATGCTAGAAATCGAGCTTAGCCCTCGAGCTCTAAGGATACAGGTTTCTTGTAAGTCGATTTTACTGTGAATTCCGCCGTTGTGTGGGCATATCCCGGTGTCAACTCTCAGTTACATTACATGTGTTTTTTCATCTTGTTCGGACCTATCCCAACTGTGTGAACACGATGCGAGCCATACTGGTGTGAAATAGCAAATTGTGGCATAGCGAGGGACGTCAAGTCGACGTCGTCGACGCTGCTGCTCACCCTCATTGGGTGGCAGCTTAGCGGTGGCCATTCATCGTTACCCGCGCAAATGTGTAATAATGATGGGCTGTGCAGGATCGCCTACCAGTCACTAGCGGATCCTTGGCAAGCTAGAAAGGATGCCACGGGCTCGTCAACTACATCGCTGAGTACTCGTTAGTGACGTTTAGACTTTTCCATTCAGCCTACGATTATCAACTTATTCCCAGAGACTTCGATTAAACTTAGCGATGACTTCAACCAGCGCCAGTTCGCCTCGCAAATTATCCAGCTTTGTTCTATCTGATCATGAGCTCGCCATTCCAAGTGTGGCTCATGCGTTCAGTCTCTTTCCAAAGACTCAGTGATCTCATCAAACTCAACAAACACAACACGAGCGACATCGGATTGAAATAGTAAAACAAATGGTAAATAGTTATGTAACAAGAAATGCTGATGCTGTTGCTTACCCTCATTCACAACAGAACGGCAATGATCGCATACTGTCCCGACAACAACATCTTTGCGCATAGTCAAGAAGCGTTACCGATCGCGACACTGAGTAGCAGTGGTTGTCGACTATACAGTAGATAGGTAGTGGTCCAACGGACTACAAAAAGAGATAAATACATTTGCTTAAGCCACTTTTTATGGTGCACAACGGCTGAGTGCTCGGCAACAAGAAAAGAGTAAGAACCAAATCTGACGGTACGAACGACATCATCACCATACAATACGGAGATTAACTTCTCGGATAATACTTCAATTATATAGTCTGATTACAACTGTGCGATACTAGAGCGAGGGGACTTTGCCGAACTCAATAGTCACCACCCGCAACAGACGAACGAGACGAATCTGGTGGTGTATCAGGCGCCAGAGCTGGCACTCGGGAAGATGAGCTCCCCTTAGAGTTCCTCGACACCTTGGGCGCTGTTCCACGACTATGTGATTCCTCACGCGCTCTTCCCAAGCCGATTTCTAAATCGTTGCTCTCACTGACCACGGACGTGGATTCTTCCCCACGATCAGCAGCACTATGCGGAGTCGTGGTTGATCGTGAGGCCTTATTATCGAAACCAGCATTCCGCAACTCCCTCTGTCGAATCCTCTTCAATCGCCTCTTCTCAGCTCTCTCCATTTTCTTTCGATTCCACCACTTACTCAATCTCAAATAAGGCGGATCTGGGAAAGTGTGTTCCAAGTCACTCGAGCTACTTCTAACCGACATCGACCGCAGTCTGAACGAACGTCTTCTATCCAACTCAGCCCCATCAGCAGACTCTGCTGCTCCTGCCGAATCCTCTCTATTGATTTCAGCTCCCTCAACCGACTGAATAGACTCAGCAGTGTGAAGAGGATAATGATGCGTCTCTCTCGGCTCCAACACGAACCCCCCAAGATCAGCTCCTTCCTCTCGACGGATCTCCGCTGCGGCATCAACAGTCATAGCCGACATGATCCTAGTCAGAGTGCGTTGCCTCGTGAGACGAGTCCCACCAGGGCTCCTCGAGCCGTCCCATGAGAGAGGCGGTGGCGCCGGCATCTCGTTACTGTACGGTACCATAGCTGGGCCTCCCTCCGATAAGGAATTGGACCGCATCGAAATGCTCCTACTGCCTCTCGGTGGTAGTATACCCGACAGACCACTAGTAATAGTACCACCATCTGAGACCAGCCGTCCCAGTCGCCTTGGGGACACACCAGGCGGGCGTGAGGCAGGGGATAGACTACCTCCATACTGCGGGAGGCTGATACTGTTGAGGCTCACGGGAGTGTCAGCAACGCTCATCGCACTCAATCCTGCTGCATCATCATCACTACGGGCGACCACATTCTGACTGCTAGCAATAGAGCTCCGTCGCCTAGCCATCTCTTGATCATCATCAGTGGTCCTTGGACTGAGGAGGAATACCCCAAAGAATAATACTCCAGTACCACCGAAGAACACCCCCAATTGCCACGATTGCATCGCTACAAACTCCTTGAATACGATACCACCAGATAGCATTGTTGAGAGTGTCCAACAAACCTGTGTTAGTGGTACAAGGAATGCTCCTGGGAATATCCTCAGGGCTCGATTGAGATGGATTACCCAGAATATGGCGGCGAATAGCCATGCAAAAAGTACTAGGAAAGTCCTACCCTGATACAACTGCGATACATGGCCACCGAAAGCCTGGGTGACAATGAGTGACAACACTTTTCCCGATACTACAGATTGGGCCCCTACTGCGGCTACACAAAAGGTGTACCCAGTGGGGACTAGGAATCGGGTTACCCTATTGTGGGATCTCGGCAAGGATAGCTCCCATTGTATCCTCTTGGGCCACTTAGACCGACTGAACCACAGAATGGGGGCACCTGTACGCATCCAGAAGGCGAAACCGATGACCATGATGAGGACTATCAGGCCTAGCACGAAGTAGCCATGTGTCGCTGAGAAGTAGAATTGTTGGAACATGAGGTCGACACTGTTGATAGCCTCAGACTTGTTGGACGATACCACCAACATTACTATTGCGCCTATGATGACCACAGTGCCACATACGTTGAAGATGGTGAAGGGCTCTTTGAGGAAGTAGTGAACGAAGAAGAGATTCGACACGAACTGGATTGCCGATATACCGCTAAGTAGTGACTGGGGGGCGAATGCGAAGGACCCGAATGTTAAAATGGATCCCACACAGAATAGTACTAACCCTATTATGAGGGAATGCCCCTTGCCATGCTTTACTGCCGTATGATACTTCATAAGAACAGTTCCGAAATTTGTGGTAATAGCACCAACAATGTTAACAACGATGCCGATGACAAACCGAGTGGCGGACATCACGGAATATTACTTCGACGTGTAGTAGTCGGACGATAGCAATATGAAGGAAAAGGTGGCCACTCAACAACTACTACTACTAGTGTGAGAAAGTAAGCACATGGTCAACTACATGTATCGCTGACACTAGGGAAGATTCGAGGAAATTCGGGAAAATTCTTGATGGTTTCCGAACACTTCTACCCTAATTCGTATATAAACTCCTTAGTGAGGAAACTCCTGTGCTGAGCTGAGGATAGCGAACATATACTTCTCCATCACTACTACCAGCAAAACACTCTACTCAACCCTGCTCCTTTGAAAGCATACTCCCCAAGTCAATAACTACTACCAATTTCTCAAAAATCGAGACCAGCGTATGCGTGGCTGAGCGGTCGGTCCTCTACTAGAAGAGTCAATAGGACCATACCACTAGTCACTATAGTTCACCATCATGACGAACTGTGAAAATTATCATCTTAGTGGTTATTAGGACCCACCATAGTAGCTACACAGCTCCCTGTACGACCGAATGAATACCAAATGTCAATCTCTTGCGGGCGCGTGATGAAGACAACGACAACCGCGCGCGCCCAAGGTTATTCACTGTTGATGGACCAGACAAGTAGAAAAGGACTTGCTCGGGAATGTCGGAGGATAGTACGTGACGTTGATTGACACCATTAATATTCGCGGAGATTTGATGTTAATACAGTAGCTGGACACAATACTGTAGACCAAGGGTCTTCCCCGAGGATGATACTCCAGTACAAGTATCGGAGTGATAACTAAGTACACAACAACCACAATCCGTCAAAGTAAAGTACTTCATAGAGCGAGTAATGATGAGAGTTCAGTAATTGCCGCGGCATTAGTTAATCAATGAAAGTTACGGTACACCCGTTGAAAACACTGGATCAAAATCGACAGGAACTGAGTACATAGGCAGCATATGAAAAGAAGGGTTGGCAGTCATATTGGAGGCGAGAGGGGTCATCCTAGGGAAAGCGGTACCCCTTGGGGCCGCTGTAACAGGGGAGCTCCACGGCTCAGGTGACGACAGAACCTTTCTGGGGCTTCTAGTGGATCGAGTTCTTTTACCACGACCTTTGAATGGGGAGAATCTCGATGGAAATCTGCTATCGAATGGCGAGTAGGCTACGAACTCATCCGGGTCGTCCTCCTGCCACCATCCTAGTTGGCATTGCTCTCTGAATCTATCGTCAAACGGTGAGCACACAATCAGCCCTTTGGCGTGTACATGCGTGCTGGTCTTGGGTTGATAGCGGCCAGGCTTGGAGGTCAATCCCACGAACTCAGCATCGAAGGGGCACACTGCCCCCCACCCACAGGGGCGCCGTTCATCAACCTTCTTCTTCGACAGATGTTCATGATAGGACCGAACATCCCAATTCTTCGGCTTCAATTGATGTCCGATGAGATACTTCTTGGCAAGTCTTATCCTCTTACTATTGCGCTTGCGCCCCCTCGAACTACTCTGGGACGGCCATTTAGTGACCCGCTCAAACTCCTCAGAAAACGGACTGCATGCCTGGAACCCGTCCAGGAAGCGCGATTCGTGAGACATATAGTGCGGAAAGCGCTGGTCAAACGGCGAGAAGGTCTGGAACACGCTCTTTGAGGGCCTCTCCTTGTGGTGTGGCTTATGCCTAATGCATGCAGAATCCTTCAACCCACGACGACGACGACGACGTTTAGACTTGCGCTGCTTAGGTTCAGTATCAAGTTGCTGGAGAGAGGCAGGGTCGACGATACTGCCGACTACAGCCCTCGTAGAGAACATCTGCGACGAGCGACTTGGAGTTGTCTCATCCCATAGGAGGAACTTGCCGGACGCCCCTTGCGCTGGTGCAGTGGGAGCTGAATAGGGACCAAAGACCACCGGGACGACTATCACGCCGCGATGACGATCAGTGGGGTAAGTAGTCGCATCATGCCGAGGAATGGGATGAGCATTCGAGTTAATCAGCAGCTCGTGTCGAGATGCTTGTGACCGCAACCTGAGGGGCAGAAGCTAAGTGCAATCCAGGTCTACATCGAGATATCACCAGTGATGATGATGATGATGTTTATTGGCATTGACATGAAGCGGTATGGGGATGTTATACGGTTGATGATGAATCATAGTCGATGGCACATCTTCACGAGACGGCTGTGATCGAACAGAGCCAGCCGTCTCCCCATCCACATGATCCACATAAACCTATTTTGTTTCATGCGGAGTATATTGCCAAGTTAAGAATGGCAGCCTAAATCGCCTATGCCGACCCTCATCCAAGACTCTCTCAACGCTACAGTCGAGACTGACTACTGCCCATTCTATGATGTGAGACATCTTCAGGCGAGCGCGGTAGGCCTTCAGTTGTCGGCAGCATTCCGACGTGCTGTATATGGTCCAAAAGACTCTGAACAATGCTCGAAGCCAATCGGATCCGATAGCTCCGAGAAGGTACTACACTCACACCCTTCACGATCGGAAAAATGATGAAGTAAAACAGCAGGAAGCCTTGTCAATCTTCCAGGTGCATGAACTCAGGGCTCTTCGATGTCGATTCACACAATCAGGTCCCATTGTAACCCCCCGAGGATCAAGTACTGCTATTTTGTTCGGGTGATAACTAAACCAAACAATAGTGAAGGGTGGAAGTTTCCAAATGTTTTCTGTGTTGCTACTAAACGGTAGTAGCAGGTGTGAAGCCGAACGGCGACCGAATATGTCTACGAAGCCTGCTGGGTTTGCTCCTCCACCTGACAGAGGGAAATAGGCCGATACTAACATGAGAAAAGGTCTACTCGTTGCTGCCACTCCTTGAAGGTCATGATCTCGCCCCGTGGCTGCCGCCCTGCCGCACTTGGTAGCTGTTGTGACCACAAAGGTAGGACGGACACTGATCGTGACTTGGACGTATCTGCTGGGCCCAGTGCCCGAGCATGGCGAACCTGACGCGAAGGGGGATGCCTATCGAGCGTATCGCCCCGTAACCTACCTCATCTAGAAGATGTTGTTTCCCATTCTCATTTTCCACGCGGCTCAATAGGCTCTGTACCTGTTACAGGGCGGCATGTGGTAGATGGTGCGTAGAAAGGGAGTACTCACCTTGATGATCGAGTTAAGAGGATCCACCGATCGATAAACCTCCAGCATACGATCGAATCGACTCTTAGTTTTCGACATTTTTGCCTATACAAGACTTTGCAGGGCGCTGACAAACATCAATATTGCGCACATCTTTCGACGAGGCTTGGTCCTGCTGCTGTTGTTGCTGTCGCTTGTCGGGAGAAGAGGGTTTGGAATCATCATCATCACCAGCCGCACCCTCACGATGGCCACCAACATCCCAAAGCATAGTAGGACGGCACTCCCGACGCTCATAAGGGTTCAATGAGCCACCTGAGACGACCATCCATACCTCTTGGGGGCCGGCGACCAGTGAAGTCCACATCACCGTTCATGCCGCCCTTCTTGGCACCGCCCTTCGTCGTGGTTCCCAACTGACGTGCCCGACGCTTGGCCATCTCCAAATCAGTCTGTTGCTGCAGCTCAAGATTCCTCCTATTGATCTCCTGTACCCTCCGAAGGCGTTGATTCTCAGCCTGGAACCTGACACCCACACAGGAGTGTGCCCTCGAGCAAGGTTGGCCTCCGTGGTGCCCACTTCTGCTGGTTGGCTTTGATCTCCTGCGTGACCTCCTTCAGTCTAGTCTCCTCTTTATTGAGTTGTATCTCAATCTGTTGACACCGAGTTGAGCCTCACTACAAACTGATCCCACACTGTCGCACCTCGCTCCTGTCCATTTGCGATAGCTCGGGGTTTTGCAGCTTCTGCATCAGAGCCTCGATCTTAGTTACCAATTGGCTCTCCTCCATCGCCAGACTCGTCGAGACCTGTAATAAGACCAGATCAAGGCAAGGCATCCATAACATGGGGCATCACCACTGACTGCCCTCCGTGCTTCTTGGCAATGTACTTATCGATGTTCTCACTAGTCCACTCGAACCGTCTACCTTCTTGCAGCTCTTTTATCTGTCAACATGTTACTAATTTCGGAAGGTAACCCCCCCAGCCACCTTCTTTGGTGCACTCAGGGCCACCTCCTGGGCGTGGTCAGGACCAACAGCAGCTGTCCACAATTGCAGTTCGACCTAACATCAAGGACTGTATGTGAGAAGAGCATGATACCAATACCTCGCTGATAGGCTGGTTACTAAGGCAGGTAACAGGTACCATAGCCGCCACTCCGGATAGCAGTCGGATGGCCAGATTGTGATGCAGGGTCATAACCTTGATAGCTGAGGGCGAAGGGGCGAGGTGGTGCACTACCACCACCATGGCTGCTCGACCACTTACGTACCTCCATTGGTGGTGGGTATCCGGACCTGCACTGGCTTGTCGAGTGCCTTGAGACCGGTGATCTCAGCCATCATGTAACTACGACTTGAACCCATGAACACAGACAAGCGACCAACTGCCTTACCCGTCTCCACCGTCTGCGGTCGTGTCCATCTGCCCACTGCTATTACCCGAGGTGTTTTGGAACTGATCGGAGGAGAACAATACTACCGACCCGACGAAGCACACGTTCCCTCCCCGAGGAGCCCCTACAGGGGAGTTGAATCGCCGTCACTCACCGTAGTTTGCAGCCGACAGAAACTTCCTGTTAGAACAGAATCCCTGAGCTTCTCAGGAAGCTGTACGTATTCAAAGCACAGCTGCCGAGTAACCTAGGACAATAAGCGACTATTTCAAGATGAGGACGCCGACGATAAGCTGCTACGAGCATCTTGCGTGCCATCGGCAGAGTGAGCTCCTCCTGCCTTGCCTTAGTCGCGACCAGAGCTTTCTCGTGTTTTCGAGAATCTATACCAGTCCAATGCCGATTCCACACTGTACCGCGCACGCCTTACCTTTGACAGTCTCCTTGTTGCCAGCATCTACTCCCTGCGACAGGATACGCTGATATGACCGACTACAGGAGTACGGCGGCCTTACCTCCTCATCCTCTTCAGCATCACTCTCCTCCCCAGAGCTGCTCTCTGACTCGGACGACCCCGAGGAGGCCTCCTCTTCATCATCGTCATTATCATCACCAGAAGAGGAACCAGACTCGCTTTCACCGCTTGAGGATTCACTCGACTCTGAAAAATGCACCATGATGGGATCGAACCCGGGACCGACCGCTACGCCACCTGACTCCGCATCAGACTCCTCGCCAGCCTTGGACTTCTTCGGTGACCGAGACGCTGGCAATGTCGTTACACCCTACAACAACACCGCCACTCATACCTTCATCAAATACCCAAGGACCACGACCACCCACACTATACCGCCCTCCTACCTTTGCCTTTAACCTCTCTAAGGCTTTCTTCCTCTCACGATATCTCACCAGCTGCTCATACCTCTCGTTGAATACAGCTTCTCGTTCGACCTACAGGGCAAGCCATAATAAGCCCCTGGGCAGGTGGTGACTCGACAACTGGTGACCTCAGTCATCTCCTTCAGCTTCTGCCTATCCTCATCGTCTATCATAAGGTCATCACCAAAGAGAGGGGCCTCCAGTTCTGGCAGGACAACTGACGACGAGCCCCCTGTCGCGTTGGTCCCCTTCGCCCTCTTGTTGCTTCTGCCTGCTCCTCCTCCCCGACCAGTCGACTTACGTTTGGGTGCCATACTGGTAAAGGGGAACTACACTTCTTCAATCTCAAATTCAGCGAATGAAAAAACAAATTGACGAGATGAAATTTCATTTTCGTCGAGTGGAAGGAGTTCTCACGGGATGAAAGTTAGAATTCGAAGTGAAAGTTCTTTTTTCGTGTACCCCTCGAAAATCGAATTTAAGCTCTTCAATTTGTTATTTCCCTTGCTGGATTTGACATTGAAAAGCTGCAGTGTGTCACCATCACTCAACGCGTAATCAGTGGTGACACGCAAGCATTACATAGATAGTAGGAACTGTGCAAAAAAGGAAATATCGGTGCAACCACTCCACCGTTACTCAGCCATGGGCTCATCCGGGTCGGGGATCCTCTTCTTCTCCAATGCAGAACTATCATCTCCAACCTCACGTTCGAGGAAAGCCAGAAAGGAATCTCCAAACCGTTCTCGCTTATCATCACCGTCCCCAGCTGCTCGGTTCAGTAATGAGGGCCTGGGGCCATCTGCCTGGGGCAACTCTGCTGACCCCAGAGCTTGTCGTTCCTCCACAGTGAACCCAAGCTGCTCAGTCAACCTCTGTATAGCCGTCTCCTCCTCCACCTCTCCAGCATCGCATGCTCTCACGAATGCTATTACCGCTCGAGCCACCTCTCTACGGTCTATCAGATAGGGCCGATCCTGCATCTCTTTCTGTAGCTTCTGCAAGCAGGAGTTGACCACCTTCTCCAGCTCTGCTACCCTGCCCTTCAGGGCCTCACGCTCAGCAGTGATGGCAGTGACGGATCTTGTCAAGTCGAGAACCTAATACGGGCCGCATTCCCGAAGTGACTAAGCTTAGTGCCCAACCTTTTCGCTCTGTTCCTGTAGTTTTCGCGATTTCTGTTCCTCAGCAGCTAAAGCAGCCTGAATCCTCGCCTTCTCGGCTAGTGCATCATCCAGCCGACTTTGGAGCTCATTAGCATCCCCGAGCTGAAGGTCCTCAGCATTGTCAATAGCAGCAGTATAGGAGTCCAAAGCCTCCTGCGAGGCGGCTAGAGATCGCCGTAGTCTACACACTTCGTCCTCTAGAGTTACTATCTACAAAGACAACCATACACTCAGTGGAAGCTGCCAATCATATCGACTCATTTCCCCTCTATCATAAACATGCTGTTTCACCACAACTGAGCTCACGATGCGATGGTCATAGTTTTCATCCAACTGAACTGTATCACATTCCTCTAATATCATAACTTTCCAATGTTGTCGAACTCTATCGCTCCGCTAAAGATAAGTCCTCAGCATTACCTGTCGGGCCTGGTCAGCCGCGTTGACTTCTGCCTCCATCCCTTTCCTCAGACGATCCTTCAGCGTGTCCAAGTTGCCAAGGTCCCTCACTGCCCCCTCCAGAGCCCTCTTCTCCTCCTCCAACTGCTCCACACGAGCCTTATACCGCTCCACCTCCTCAGCATGGCTCTGCATCTGCTGCATTGCATCAAACTGTGCCAATAGAGATGAATGCTGTTGTTGAAGGGAAGCATAAGCATCAGCTAACGTCGAGAAACTATCATCACCACCATCATCACGGCTCCCACTCCTCTCCTGTGGGAGCTCCACCAGAGGCCGCTCTGCTAGTTGTTTCTGAAGCTGAGCTACTTGAGCTTGTAGACTCTCGACCAGACCACGGTCCTCAGGAGTTCTACTCCCATCCTCTGCACGCCTCGCGGCGGAACCAATCCCAGTTGCTATAGCGGCGTGAGTCGCCGTCTTGACGTTGGAGATGGCGGACGTAAGGACCCCGACACCCCAGTTCCCTACTACCCCTCCTATCCTGGACCCATCACCCGCCTCGCCTGGCAGCCCCCTCTCGAACTGAGCTACTACAGGTCGTTTTGATAGCATCTGCCGTATACTCTCCCACTCTACCTTCTCATCCGTCAACACATTGCCATCAACAGCCCTCATACAGTCCCCAGGCCTAACGTCAAGCTTCTCTGCTATGCTCCCTGCATGCACTCGGGATATCCTATATGGCGGCTCGATCTCTGCGAACTCCATACCCAACGCTCCCGGCAAGGCAAAAGTGACCTCGTACCGTTCACTCTGGTCCCCAGTACGAACAGGCTGCGCCCGAGGAGGGCTCTTCTCACGACTAGGCGGGGACACTACTGCCGTTGCGAGAGGAGAGTCGGCGAGCCTCATATCAGAAAGTTTCTCCGATTTCGGTCCTAATCTGACCTCAGTCGGCGAAGGCAGTGGTAAAGGAGGCGGTGGAGGGGGAGGCGAAGGCGGCGGCCTGTCCTCCTCATCCTGTGGGGTATCAGCCGGCAACATGTACCCAAGTGTATCAAGCTGGATAGAGCTTAGAGTATCCCTCTTTGCACAACTCACAACACAACAACAAGGAAGTGATACCGCATAGCAATGGTATGGTGACACTGAATAGGAGCAGCAGGGTTGCAATAGTACGTCTCACTCATAGAAGAGAGGGTTATACATCTTAGTGCAACTTTTAGTGTTGAAATTACTCCAAAAGGGGATTCTTACGGATGGGGCTCATCAGGGGTACCATCTGGTGCATGTAGACGAATGCCCAACTGAGAAGAGATCAGTCAAAGGGAAGATGAGCAGCGATGATGCACTTACAACATCCACATGCAAATAGTCGTTAACCATACGAGGAGGATGGAGAGTCTGATGCCTGAGGAGGAAAGAGGTGGTGACCTCATCCGACAATCACGCGGAATCACTTACTCTCGCCCTTCGTAATCTTGGGGGTCTCCTTAGCGAAGAGGATGGGGGCCACAAAGGTGAACACTACTCCCAATACGGCGAAGATGATGGTACCGGTGATGAGACCTGAAAGGATACGATACTGGTCGGAGCTTAGGAAAGAACGCCGCCTCTTACCGGGAGCATGGAATCCGAGAGAAGCGGGAGCTACAGCGACAGCACTCATGATGACAGTTCCAAAGGAATGTGGATAAGCAAAAAACTCCTGAGGCGAATCCCCCAACCATAACGCCACTTCAAACGAAATGTTTTCCCTTAGCATTATGAAACTCGAGAGGTGTTACGACTAACCAGGGGCATGCTCCGCTCCTCCTCCTCCTCCTTCTCGGGGCGGCCTTCTCTTGATCCCGATAGTGCCAGCATAAGGGTTAGCCCTCATTGGGGACAGGGGTATATTGAACACTCCGACAGAACAGTCTTGCTAAGAATAAGTGCCGCGATAGATGACGAGAGCATGCCTATACTGCTGACACCATAGGAAACATTGACGAGGACCTGAGCATCGGTGTAACTAGAGGCCACTGTGATGATAGACGTCGATTACCTCACGAAGGCTGGCAGGGATAGTCGGAGTATCTCTGAAGTAAGCGTAGCATGCAGAGTAGCTGGTGCCACCCATGAGACCAACAAAGACCATACAACAGGTGTAGAACTGGAAGGCTGCGGTATCAGAGGGGAACAACTCGTATCGGACCTGGCATGGGAACACGATGATGCTCAGTAGTGACAAGGAGGGGAAAGCACTCACAAAATGCAGTTTGGACTCGACACCCCAGAGGGTACAGTTAATTAGTTGCAGGAGAGTTGGAATCCATATGAGGGCCACAGGGGGGTTGGGCATCTGAGCAAGGAGGGGTGCGACGACGATGCTACCGACTGGTGGTAAGGGGCGTACCACACCAACGACACCTCGTGAGACGGCTACCCCAAGGTTATAACCAGCATATGATATGGCGTAGCTGAAGACGGGTGGCTGGTAACAGACCCAACAACAACAACCTACGCGTTAGAGCCTATCAAGCTATGTTGGTCACCAACAACAGCAGCAGACTGTAACGTACTGCGATCAAGGAAACTCTGAGTGATGAGATATTCCAGGAAGTATACCGCACCCTGGAGAGGATGCATGCAGGTCTACAACGGGGAACTACTCTGGCTTACGAAGTTCAATACACCGCCGCCTGCCAACCTCATGCAACGAGTGGCAGTCGCGAAGGAGAGAGGCTCGCTCCTCGACTGAAGCTCCTCAGTGGCCTCATGGGTGCCAAGGTGATCTGCTGGGTTGTGCTGATCAACGAACATAAAGGCAGTATAGAATCTGAAGGAGGAGGAGGAGGAGGTGACTGATGAGAGGGTTGGGGGGGGGGGCGTCTTTACATCGGTATCAAGACGTTCAACGATAACATGAAAGCTACCGTGCCCACTTCATTGGAGTACGCTGATTTGGAGAGAGCATACAGTACAGGGGCTACCAGCCCCGATACACCACTACCGATACCCCAGGCCCCCAGGGTAGCAGGAGGAAGATGATAACATCGGGAGACCACCTACAGGGCTCTGATGGAGGAGGAAGGGGTGGGGAGGAGGAGAAAGGGCTCACGAGTATTTCGCCGATGCTTTGACTGCTACCACTGGTGATAGCAGCTACGAGAGATATACTGAAGCCTAGGGTCGATGTCGCAGTAGAGGAGGAGGAGGAGCCTCGGACAGCATCTGAAGGAGTGATCACGGTCGGAGGAGTTCTCATGGGCCCTACACCCTCTGAAGGCAGTAGAGATAGCAAGGAGGAAGTAGCTGAGACCCTGCAGGGAGAGGAGGAACTTAGTACGGCTTTTGAAGGAGAAATGGGCGACACCAAATCTGATAGGACTACTACTACTACTACTACTACTACTACTACTACTACTACTACTACGACGGTCGGTTTTTGATGATACCTCGCATGTAGGGCGCTGGCGAGTATACAACTAAGGAGCTGAACGAGACCATAGTAGGGCATGTAGTCTACTTTATTGAAGTCGTAGGCCAAACTCTGGGAGGTGGAGTATCTACCAAGACAATCTGAATTAACACTCCAGAATAACTCATAATACCTAAATACGCAACTACCAATAACTAACCATTATTCGATATAATATTCCCAAAGAAGAGTTGCGTCGACTGGAGGTTCCCAAATGGATGGTCCCCTGCTACCAGCCTTATAGAGACCAGTACGACCCAAGAGGGTTCTCCATCATACGGATATGGACTGTCTTATTCTGCTTCAAGAGATTCGTCAGTTGCTCGATTATGTAAATAATAAATTTCATCGAGCTCGGCAGCATTCATGTGTGATCGATCCTCCCAAGCCTTCCCCCTCTAATTGACTTGAGAGGTGTTGTTGGACAGCCCCTCCTTACATTAGGTGGAGGGCAGTATTGTTGATTATACCCAAGAGGAACACACATGCATATAATTTCTTCGGTGCATCCAACCTCTCCTCGGCCACTGCAAGAAGCGGAGACTCGGAACTCCTTCCTACTGCTCCATAGGTCATGCGAATAGTCCTATGTGCTAGGCTGAACTGAAGTCGTGCATAAATAAGTAAATCGATCAGACGGGCGCGCGCCAAGTTGTTGCGTTATAATAAGAGGCTCTGACTGAATATGGGAGAGAAACACTGTACGGTTTCTTGGCGGAGAATCTCCCCAGCTGGGGATCGTACCATCATCCCAGATAAGAGGGAAAGTGTGTGACCTAGCGAAGTACCCGTGAGGCGAGCGCTAAACAACCTGTTGTGTTGATGAAAGTGAGTGCTGCAATGACAGAATGGCAGACTCGAAGGACTGCTGTAGGAATGTGGAGCACCCCAGCAGTGCGATCTTTTTTCTTCTTACCCTTGATACTGGGGGACTAGAGATGAGGCACTTGACTCTGTAAGTTACAGACTGTAACTATTGCTCGGGTAGCTTAAATATCTGACTCATCCTCTGGTCAGTATTGCCAAACCCAGACCTCGGCTCTCGGGCTTCAGGTTTGAGGTTTGGTCAATACCTCTCCAATTCCCAGTTGGGATTTCTCTATCAGTAAATATCTGAACTGTCAGTAAGATTGCACGGAAAGTGCACGAACAGCGCAGAACGACGGTTTCGCTGAAACCAACTCCTATGGCCTTAGGTACTCTCAAGACAGCAGTTATTGACTAAGCCTGCCTTGGATGTTGTCCTTCACTTGGATAGCAGTTCGGGTTCCACCGTGAACAATAAACAACAGAATAGCTAAAGTCAAAATCATTACGCGATCATTACGCGAGCGAAATTGAAGGTCGGGCACGCATAAAGAAGACAAGAAAGATATTATTATTCGGGAGTCAACTTGATGAAAAAACACCACTCGCAGGGCGGAATCCTACTGTGAGCGAGAGCACGAATCACAAGGGAAACGGTCATCAATATGATGACCGTTATTCAGGTGTGAATCCTTGACTGAAGGAAAAATCTAGCTTGCAAGTTCACCCAAAAAAACAAGGGATTGCGGGTGAAAACGGAGAACGGGACACCCGAAACCCCCCCCCCCCCCGAAACCCGACAGGGCAACCCGAAACCCGAACTCTTATCCAAGTGAAGGCCATCGTCCAAGGCAGAACTGATCCCAATAAAACCAGAAACCCGAACTGTTATCCAAGTGAGGAGTGTCATCCTAGGACGAACTGATTCAAGGGAGGCTGCCCTAGGGAGTCCATTAAGCAACGATCCAAGCCCAAGGTGATCGTAGGGCAACCTGCGCTGTCCATGCAGTTTACCCCATAGATATTTAAGACTAACTGGTTCAGCTAAATCGGAATATTCGTTGCCAACCGGATTTCAAAGGGAGTTGAGATGTTTCTGTTGATAAGTCAGATAATCTCATATAAGTGGCAACGAGGTGTGAGAGTTCCTCCGGTGTCGCTGTAACCAAGACGTTTGTGAAGGAATGACGTAGTTCCGCTCTCATCCGATTGGAAATATCTATACATTCACACATGGATGAGTTCATCAACCCCACATATAAGCACTAGGTCCATCCATGTCCCAGGAACCAAGCAGGACCGAACCTATCAGACCCCTGGCCATTTGGTAAATTCAAAGATGACCCCGCCTAACAGGATACATCAACATACTCCTGGTCGCAAGTTGCGACCAGGAGTATGTTGATGAGGTGTTGCGACTCGCAACGCCTTCCTAAGCGGATTACAGCGCATTCTGTGGTGAAACATGTCTCCCGAACAGATTACACCAAGCTTGGTAGGGACTACTTGGCCAGGAAAATAGCTCATCTTTGAAGATTTCATCTCATTCAGGTAGGATTCACCACAGTTAACCAGAAAAGTCGTCCACTGCTGTTGATCAAGCAGAAATCACTAGCACCATCATCTTGGCATAATCTGGTACAAGGGGGAAAATTTTTGTGGAAATCGGTTGGTATTTTCCCAGACTTGGTGTGTTCCGGTCCACGGAGGGGTCTGTACGACATTTTGTCAAATTCAGACTTGCAGTTTCGCCAAGTTTGGCGAGTTGGCGAGACCTAGGTCTCCGTGTTATTATCAACAGTGTCCTTCAAGATGATACAACACACACAGCCCAACGTCAATAATCAAAATTCCAGTCACTACTGGTTACACCTGAGAAACATGGATACGGCGACTATTTCCTAGGATGTTCCAAGATCCTCTAGCAGCCCGTGTCTGGGCGAGAGCTTGGATAAACTCAGCTAAGCTCGGAAGGCCAACCCACAAATTTAATGCCCCAATACATCGAACACGGGGCCGCCGCACTGTGTTCTCAGCATCTACTCCCTGCGACAGGATACGCTGATATGACCGACTACAGGAGTACGGCTGCTTTACCTCCTCATCCTCTTCAGCATCACTCTTCTCCCCAGAGCTGCTCTCTGACTCGGACGACCCCGAGGAGGCCTCCTCGTCATCATCGTCATTATCATCACCAGAAGAGGAACCAGACTCGCTTTCACCGCTGGAGGATTCACTCGACTCTGAAAAATGCACCACGGTGGGATCGAACCCGGGACCGACCGCTACGCCACCTGACTCCGCATCAGACTCCTCGCCAGCCTTGGACCTCTTCGGTGACCGAGCCACTGGCAATGCAGTTACACCCTACAACAACACCGCCACTCATACCTTCATCAAATACCCAAGGACCACGACCACCCACATTATAACGCCCCCCCTACCTTTGCCTTTAACCTCTCTAAGGCTTTCTTCCTCTCACGATATCTCACCAGCTGCTCATACCTCTCGTTGAATACAGCTTCTCGTTCGACCTACAGGGCAAGCCATAATAAGCCCCTGGGCAGGTGGTGACTCGACAACTGGTGACCTCAGTCATCTCCTTCAGCTTCTGCCTATCCTCATCGTCTATCATAAGGTCATCACCAAAGAGAGGGGCCTCCAGTTCTGGCAGGACAACTGATGACGACGACGAGCCCCCTGTCGCGTTGGCCCCCTTCGCCCTCTTGTTGCTTCTGCCTGCTCCTCCTCCCCGACCAGTCGACTTACGTTTGGGTGCCATACTGGTAAAGGGGAACTCCGCTCAGGTTTTTTAAAAACCTTTTTTAGCTTCACAAGAGAGCTTGTAATGTCCAGTGACTGGACTCCAGTCGCATGCTATTCTCTGCGATACTGACTATATGTACTAAATCAACCGGATCCAGCTCGCGAATCGACTCTCATCTTGCACAAGCCAAGCAATTTCGCCTGCCTGAATATTGGTAGTTCATCTCCCTAATCCCGATCAGGAGAATTGCTGTTCCTTGTACTGCATCGCTGAGAAGGGTTCGTGATCCTTCGTTTTTGCCAATGATGTGTGACCGGCGCTCCACGATTGCTCGGGAGCAGTTTTATTCTGTACTACGGTTCAAGAGGAGAGTTTCACCGTTGAGCTGATACTCCCAAAAAACCTGCGGCACTACAGGTTCTACTCAGACTCTCGACATCTCATCCATCGGTCCACCTGTCTGAACCAAGATGCTCAGAAGCCAATGCATCGGGAGGACTGCGCTCTCGACATTTGTGTTCGCGTGGCTTTGCACCAAGATTCTGAGTCTTGAAAGATTCTCGAGAAGGAGAGATCTTTCATTCGCTTGCCTTACTCTTTAGCCCTACTGACAAACAGGCTGTTTGAAACAGCCCTAGATTGTGCAAATAATAAATTTCATCGAACTCGGCAGCATTCATGTGTAATCGATCCTCCCAAGCCTTCCCTCTATAATTGACTTGAGAGGTGTTGTTGGACATCCCCCTCCTTACATTAGGTGGAGGGCAGTATTGTTGATAATACCCAAGAGGAACACACATGCATATAATTTCTTCGGTGCATCCAACCTCTCCTCGGCCACTGCAAGAAGCGGAGACTCGGAACTCCTTCCTACTGCTCCATAGGTCATGCGAATAGTCCTATGTGCTAGGCTGAACTGAAGTCGTGCATAAATAAGTAAATCGATCAGACGGGCGCGCGCTAAATTGTTGCGTTGTAATTATCAACAGTGGCCTTCGAGAACATACCCATTCCAACATTAATGATTCAAATTCCAGTCACTACTGGTTACACCTGAGAAACATGAATACGGCGACTATTTCCTAGGATGTTCCGAGATCCTCTAGCAACCCGTATCTGGGCTTGGATGAACTCAGCTAAGCTCGGAACGGTAACCCACAAATTTAATGCCTCAATACATCGAACACGGGGCCGCCGCACTGGGATGGTCACAGACTTGGTCGTCATTTGTGGGTGTTATTATGCTCAGCTGAACGTATTAAGTGATTGATCGCGGATGATGGAAGCGCAGGGTTACTCAGTAAATGTTGCAGCCAGTGATGACCCAAGATGGTTGGTTACCCTGATCTTCTCCATCAACTATACCCTTGCCTGCTGTGGGTGATGATCCCTGTTGGTATAGACCATCCACACTTACTTCAAACTGTCGTAAACTTCCGATTTAACCTGCTCAAACCGATGCTGTCGGTCATCAGTAACCTCATTGCTCGTTGAGACATGCCCGCTGTCTATCTGTAGGTGTTCTCATGGTAGTTGAAGGAATGTAGTACTGGAGTGGGTATGAAAGGACGAGCTCATAGGATTAGGTAATCCTGTCCGGGGGCATCTCCGGCGGGCACCTCCATGACACAACGTTGCCCCACGGTTGCATGCATCATCGATCTAAGGCTAATATCATTGGGGCAAAACGTTTGAAAACTCTGTATGCATTTCCGTACCGTCAGGCGGCATGGGATGGTGATTTTCAGGCCTAGTGGGGCGTGTGTCGTCGTAGTAGGAATTCGATCGTCCGAGGAGGCATCAACGCTATTGTCTTATGAGGAACAAGATATATGTATATCTTCCTCTTTGCACCGCTCTTGGTCGCCACATTCCTCAGTAAAACGTCGAGGGCTAATATTATGAGTGCCCGCGATGACGAAGGGCACTCATAGTAGTCGGCGTACTCTTGTGACGTTGGCGAGATGGATAGAGGTGCCATGGCCTCGCTAGCAGTGGCCCAGCTCAGCCGGTCAGGTGAAGACCTGATGAAGCCATGGTGTGGTATGAGTATTTCCTCCTCACCACTGTTATAACTTGGTAGAACATTACTCATTGCATTGTATGCCGTGGGTAGTGACTGAACCCTTCTCAACCTCGAATGCTGCTTCCATTGTCACGTTGATAGGCGTTATCTTTACATGCATGTTTCCTGTCACTTCCTCATACCTAGTTGAGTTATAGCTGGCTGGGTGATGCATGTTATCGTGGGTTTAGTTAATATTCAAGATAGGGCTCGGTTATCAATGGCAGAAGATGCAATAGACGGTGGAGGTCTTGATGTCCTCGAGCGGCAACGTCGAGAAGCAGAGCAACAAGAGCCTCCGATAATTGAGATGTTCAACCTCTTCCCGCATGAAAGCGGTATAGTGATGAGACGGGGAGTGGAGCTGGGCATAATTTGCAGGTATTATATCCGCGAAGGTTCGATTTCCACGACTTACATTTTTTCAGTGCTGTACTCATCGCCCATTGCGTTTATCTCATCATGTTTTACTGGCCAACAGAGGGTCTGATGGAGAGCGACTTGTCGTTTTTCGACAGACTCCTCCTACTCCTCTGCGTAATACCCTTCCTGACCTCAGCAACGATGTCGGCTATTCTCAGGTTATACGTGTAGTAGCTGCAGTGCCGCGACCATTCTTCTGGTTCAAGACCAGAAAGCTCTTTGTCGAGGCGAGGTGATGATGACCTATGCCAACAACCTCATCCGTATCTACTCATGATGAACCTTAGATATGAGCCAACACCTCAGTTGGTGGCCCAGCGTCTTATCGACATATACTTCCATCCCTTCCGAGTTGAACGGTGGTTGCTCTGGAGTTACTACATCTGGTTGGGCTTCGTCGTAGCCCTCCTGTGGCTCACACCAAACTCCGTATCGGGGCCCTCGCAATTGGCCAGAGTAGGCCTAACAATAGCCAACTTGCAACAACACTGTTGTCTTCATAGGCTTTGTGGAAGCACGTGATGATGAACTTAGCGTCAATCATACTCCATCGAGTTGTATGCGTGAGCCTTTTTTATTGGCTCATGGAGTCGGATTTCAAGCGCGGAATTCCTGCTGATGTGTTAGACAAATACAGCAAGGTTAGATGACCGGTATACAAGGCATATCTTCATGGTGTGCATTTCAGGTGGAGACTTTTTCACCGGGGTATTCATTGTCACCTTGCCGTTACGCTAATAAGCATTTTATATACAATTCTGGTGAATGCGCGATCTGCTACTGTGCTTATGAGAAGGGGGAGCATGTCCGAGTGCTGTGCTGTGGCCACTCCTTCCACACTGATTGTGTTGATACATGGCTAATGGGCCATCAAAATAGGTATGATCATAGCCTTGGCAATATCCCTATTCGTATTGTTCAGATGCCCTTTATGTCTAGGAGTGGTTGGTCCTGCTTTTGATGATAAACTAGAGCGACATGTAACCCACTGTCAGGTGAGCCACATGTTGAAGTAGGTTGGGTTATATATTCCCTTCAGGCTGGCAGACCCGGTGATTGATCTGATGAGCGATCCAGTTCCATACTTCTGGTATTTTTGTACGATGAAAAAGGCAGTATATTCGCCTTATGTTACTATGACCATCTTCTTATTGTTACCATTTCTCTGTTACGCCTTACGTTACGTGCAACGTATAATCTCAAGGCGCCTCCTCATTTGGTTATACTGGTCGATATCGTTGATCTTGAGTTTCCAAGTTGTCCGCTCGAACAGCTGCGAATATATATGAGTAAAACGACAGCCTTGAGACTTCAGAGCTGCGACAGGCAAAACCTAATGATTAGAGTGCATTGAACAACGTTTCCACGGCTTGCACGTTGCGGATACAAGTCTGTGGGGAACTACTGAGTACACTGTTGTTGGTTAGACAACAGTATGACTGATCCGGAGGAACACTGCTGATTAAATCAGTGTTTTCAGGTCTTCACCCAGGCGGACTGAAAACTGTTGCGATATTCTCAACCTGTATCCTTTGCATAATTCCTCTCGTCGAGAGATTCGCCAGATGTAACTTAGCATATCGGCATTGAGGTGTTCACCCTTCCCACATACTCACGAACCCAACATTAGTATTAATGGATAACTTGGCTCATGGCGAGTGATGAATTATGTGATGATACACATCTGTGCTGTGCACAGTACGAACCAATTGAAAGTTATGGTCATCTGCTATTGAAACTGGTGCTATGCTGCTGTCCAATAATCGACTTCAACTCGGCATTCTCATTTTGCAGCTGTACGAGTGTTGAATCCATCTCACCTGTGAAGACGCTGATTTACCGTAAACCCCCAGTCACCGTACCGATGAGTTTATACTGCTGTTCCACCGTATCACACAGGCTGATGTATTCGGGATGGGTCTGTACGGAGAAGCTAGACTCGCTACCTGACGGGTGCAATGGCGATACAACACCAATAGCTTGCCGCCGCCTCTGCTCGTTGAGGTAGTCTTCCAGTTGATGACTCCTATCAAAGAGAATCTTCCGCAGTGCGTTGATAGTCGTCCATACCGATGAGATTCCTCATGTAGTGCGTGCCGGGCTTCTCGAAGTTTTTCACTCAGCCGTTGATTCTCAGCAGTCACAGCTGCGAGCTGTGTCGCCAACTTTGCCGATTCTCGTGATTGGTGATTTCCTAACTCACACATGAACACATTGGAACAGCTCGATTGCCCCCTACCCGCCGTGCTCAGCTGGCGGCAGGCATCCTCAGCTCGATTCCTATCCTCCCCTGCTACTGCTACCATACGCCGCTGTTCGGCTAGCAGATCGTTCATCTGTGAGCCGAATTTTGTGGCGCGCGACAGAATATGTCTTCTCACTTCTCGTAATTGCTTCAGAAGCTGCTGGTTCTGATCCTCAGTTGCATCGAGATCAATTTGCAAACGATGATTCTACTAGGAAAGCTGATTCCTGTACAAATAAGCATTCCGGCTCACCTGCTTAAAAGCTTCACTCAGAGATGCCTGGAACTTCTCGTTCTCCTTGGTCAGCAGATCCAGGCTTTCCTCCAGTTGGTCACGCTCTTCCTGGAGTGTACTAATTGACGCTGATCGTCTGAACAACACGTCTATGAAACTGCTTCTACCAGGGATCGAACCTGTGGCCGTCCAAAGTCGCCTGATGATAGAGTTCCCTGATATCATCCCTCTCCAGTTCCACAGCTCGAAGAGCCTACCAAACTGTCGCTGTCACAATTAAGATTTCTGTCACTTCGATTGTCGTCTGAGTATCTCGTTTTTGCTGGTCCAAGGCAGTCCTAAAGTTGGACGCTTCTCTCGAAAGACGGATGACTTCAGCGTGGAGGGACTGAAGCCAATCAGCGATGCGGCGGCAGCCTCATAATACAATACACCAACCTGATTCTCCCTAGTCATGTGAGCAACATCCTCTGTGATATTCCGGACCTCCTGCTGAGACCCGTCCAACTCCGTACACAGACGCACCTATCGGCAGTCTTATAGCCCAATAACAAGGAGGATGTTCACCGTCTCCTCTTGAAGTTCTTGGATAGTCCTATGAAGGGCAGCACTCTCATCATCTCGAGTGTTGAGGTTAACCTGATGAAAGACGACGACAGTTCACAGGCACCGATACTTGGTGAGCCCTACCTGTTGGCCCTCAGTCTCCCGCCTCAGCTGCTCCACTTTACGATTCAGTTCTCCCACTCGGTCACTGAGCTCCCTATTGGTGGCCCTCAGCGACGACACTTCCTCTGACTTATCATCAACAGCTGATTGCAACTCCTGAAGAGAGCGAGCATTGGGAATTCGCTGTAAATCTGAGCCTACATCCCTCTCCCTATCAAGGGTTAACATAGCCGTACGCATGCGCACTATCTCCTGCTGCTGCTCGGCAACCTGATGAAGCACTCCTCTGAACTAAGCTGTACCGTCGTGGAGCACACATACCCTCCTCAATGTATCGACATTCGTCTCCTCATTGGCCGTTGCACTCTTGCCGACGTCCGCCAACTTGGACGTGGTCACCTCCAGCTCAGACAGTAGCGAGCTCTGGGTGTCCTCCAACGCCTTCACCTACACGTACCATGCTAGAAGGTAATCGCCGACCCCAATGGTCCTCGCCACACTGACCATCGTCATCATCTTCTTCAGTTGCCCTTCAGCCCTCTCCTTCTCCTTCTCCAAGAGTGCTATCCTCCTATTGGCATCATCCAGGCCCCGACTTGCTGTAGACTTATCTACTATGCAATAACAACAACAATCTCGTGAACCATTACATCACCGACAACCACTAACCAGTGTTCTCAGTAACAACTGCGCCCCTGAGGGCCTCCACCGTCGCCTCAAGCTTGGCCCTAGCCTTCCGCTGAGCTCCGAGATCGGTCTTCAGCGCCTCCACTCTAGACTGGCATCTGACCACCGACTGCTTTCCTCTACACTACCACCCCGGGCCTCACTACCGATCCAACTCCAACTTCATGTCCTGCCCAGTTTTCCTGGCCGCATCCAAGTCCACCTGCATACCATTCGCCTTCTCCTCAGCTTCCCTACACCCCTCAGTAGCACTCTTCATCTGAAGAGCCACCTAAAAAGCTGAGTACTAGCAGTACCCACCTGCGCCTTCAGTCGTGTCATCTCCTCCTCCTTAGCTTTCGCCTCCCTTTGCAGTCTAATGACCTCATGAGCCAGTCTATGATTATCCGAAGTGCTGTTCTCCACCTGAGCTCTACCACTGCCGCGACCTTAGCAGTGTTGACACTACTACCTCTTCGCGAATAGTCGACATTTTCCCCTCGAATTCCCTCACCCGCTCCAGCATATCTCTTTTAGTAGCACCAATCTCTGCCTCATAGTTCTCTTTTTCCACCATCGCCTGAACGCCACGTCCTCCTCGAAATGACAGCCGTAGTGAACCCACCTTCTCCGCCTCCTTCTGTGAGCTTTCCTTCACTCGATCGAGTTCCTTCTCAAGATCTTCCTGCCGTTTTCTCAATGCTGTGCACTCGTCCGTGATTCCCTATAATGAGGGTATGTGTGGTGGTAGTAGTAGTAGTAGTAGTAGTAGTAGTGATAGTAGTAGTAGTAGTAGTAGTAGTAGTAGTAGTAGTAGTACCCGTCGTGCAGACTCCTCCTCCTTGATGACCATGGCCAGCTTCTCACACAACGCCTTTAGGTCATCCCTCTGCCGTGTGACAGCTTCCACCTTCTCCGACAGGCTTGAGTCTGGTGATGAGAGATCGACGGCCATTGATACCACCACTGCTGATGATAACTTTGATGTACATGTACGGCACCGCAAGTACATGCATTTTCTCAACCTAGTCTTCGAACAACACTACGGGGCGAAATGAAAGGTTCTTGGAAACTGCCATTCGACTTCCCCTCTCTTCGTAGAGCTGATCAGCTGCCCACAGACGGGGGTACGCCCGGGACTATTTTACGATATATAACCCAATATGGTTGACGACATATAGAGGAAATAAGCTCACTCTACGGACATCGCTCATGCTTTCCATAATAAACATAGTTTTCGTACAAGTAGGCGGAGGCAGAGTACTGTGTACAAGTACTAGAAAGGCGGTCGGCGTAATGCACAGCCCTATCCCCCTTCACTTCATGGTATATTTCCTATACCGTGCCTCTAGGAACTCAGCCGGAGAACCGAAGCATATATTCCAACACTACCTGAAATGTACCAACAGCCCCATCATTAGTAACTGGCTGCAGAATTCTCCTCCTCCCCTTCCTCAGCAGCCTCCCCTTAAAGCCAATGTAGTTGCCCCTGACGATGGTCAGGATACGTACATCACCCTCCGATTACAATTGACAACCCGAGACAATCATAACTACTCGAATTAATTTCATCGAAAATGCGACTTGTGTACCGCCAGAAGCCACTCTATGACGCTGCTGCAGGATGCGCCACAGGTAGTGGTGACAGTGAGCGCCTATTGCTACCACCCTGTTGTTCCTTCGGGCCCACTGTCACCAGAGTCTCAGAGTTGTCTCCTCTCATCGCGCGAACCTGTCAGGAAATAATTTTCCTCGCTCAAGCGTACCACACCTCGCCCACTTTATCTCTCAAGTGAATACCTATCCTCCTGCTCTCTGTCACCAATGGTTCAAAGCACGGCCGTACTCGGGAAGGGAAATACGCGCCTATAATCGTTCGTGAATAATTCACACATCCTGTATTATAACCTAAGCCCGCACCGACTGCCACCCCAACGATCAGCTCAAATACCATCGTTACAAAATCTTACTGAAATTACTCCATACCACTCCCCACTGAACTCAACCAAAAATGGACATGAAAACTGCGCCGCTCCGCTCATCTCAATAACCCTACAAGATTCCCTCAAGGCCCTTCAGCTGCTCCTCCGTGAGGGTCTCCGGGAATTCCACTCGGAATTCCACAACCAGATCTCCAGCTTCACTCGGGACATCTTTCAAGGGCATGCCTTCGCCCGCATACCGTGTCACCAATCCCGACTTCGTAACCTCACCACTGCGATTAAGAACTATCTCATGACCATCCAAATGCTTGATAGTCTTAGTAAACCCCAATAGAGACTCCCTCAGGCTGATGACATACTCCATGTAAAGATCTTGTCCAACTCGCCGCATCGTAGGATGAGACACCGTTCGTATTACATAAATAACAGATCCAGCCGCCTTTTCAGGGCTTTCATCACCAGCGTACGGTATGGTGATTTTATGCCCATCAGGAACGCCCTTTTCCACTACTACTTCATACGTGTCAACTCCTGCCACAACTCGGGCCCCATGACACTTAGGACACTTTCGAGCAGCAATCTTTCCTTTCCCTCCACATCTCCCACAAGGCTCATGCAGATGCTGGTACATCCCCGGGCCCAATTTAACCATACGGACTATAGACCCCTGGCCTTGACAGTCTGGACAATCTTGAAAATCCTTCTTCGTGCGCGCACCCGTACCTAAAAATCTCTTTCTTGAATGCTAATACCTTCAAATCAATTTCGCTCACCTCTACACCGCCTGCATCGTTTCTGTTTGAAAGCAGTAAGCTTGAATGTTTTCCCCGAATAGATATCATTCAGCGATACAAAGAGTGGTATCTCTAGATCAGGCGACTTGTCGGACCGACGTCTGAAAACAGTGGCTCATACACAACAGCTACTCCTCGTATATGGTGAAGTATGGGGAGGAAATAACTTCATGGGCTCATCGTGAGGAACAAAATTATTCCATCGAAGCGAATAAGAGTTCCCCATGCACTTCAAACGGATTTCATCGATTAAATAGATGAAGTTTCGGTAAGACCAGGGAGGAATTAACGTTTTGATGGTTATAGCTTCAACCCAGAACGCATCCACGATCGAAATTGGAGGCGCGCAACTCCGACGAGAGCATCGTCAGCTTTACGAAGTGCTACTCTGGCATAGTACGAGTGATGGTATAGGTACAAATACACTTCCTCAATGAGACATCACTACCTTCCTCCTCCTCCACCACCAAAAAAGCCTCCAAACATTTCACTAAAAGGGTCATAAAAACCACCCTGGCCCTGAGCCTCCCTCTGCGCCAACTGCTGGAGCCCGTCTACACCGTCTAGGTCGTACCTGATACCCAACATACACATCAGGCTAGCATAACTACATGCCACTACACTCGACGCTTGTTGGGGTCGCTCAAAACTTCGTAGGCTTGTGAAATCTGACAGTGGCTCAATACAAGTGCACGGATAAAGCTTCATAATTTTACTTTCTGAAAGATATCCTCATCACCTCCTTTATCAGGATGGTTTTTCAACGATAATCGTCGATAAGCCCGCTTGATCTCAGAGTCTGTAGCCTCTGGAGTAATCTCCAATAATCCTAATTTACCACACACTCCACCCCCTTCCTACCCCACCTACACCTACTGTAGTAATCTTGCGCCTCATCGTCGAAAGGCTCATCATCTTCAACCGACGCTGATTCCTTCTTGCCAGACCACCACCCAGCATTACACAGAGCTAGTAAGCTCAGTATGAGGAGGACGACGATCCTCATGATAATAAGGACCAAAACTGAATTATTAGCAGATAGTTCACGGATGGCGCTCCAGGACCACATTTTTGGGCGCGCGCTTTTTACGTAGCACTTTTGAAATTATTTTCGGTGTCCACCTATCGATTCGACAGCCGCAACTCCAGAGCCTCCTATGTTGCATTGATCGTCGGAACTGTATCACGTACTGTTATTGAGAGAACTTCTCCAGCTAGTGTCCTGCTCTAGAATTGTACAATGATGAACGATGCATGGTCAATCGTTCTCAGTGTTTTCGTCAGGATACGCGGCGAATCTCGTCAATCTCTGTCCCCATCTTGCCGCCTCGTGTTAATGTATTAACACAACAGGACGAGTCTCGTACGACTATTAGATTTCAACATGTTCATTATGATGATGATGATGGTGAATTCTCTCCCTCCTCCTCCTCAACACCGACACTCTCGAGGACCTGACGCTCATCTACGCGAGCAATAGTGTACCAAAACAAACCTCTTCGGCCTTCTTTTCAAGATTGCTACGGAATTTCTGCAAGGCTCCTTTGATGCCGATCACTTGGACTGACGAGCAAAACTCGGCACACTGATGATCATCTATGTCGTCTTCACCTTCATTCAACTCATTCTGCGAATTCTCAAGGTTCTCCAATTCCTTGCGAGATTCCTCAACAATATCCTCCCCCTCAGCCTCAGTCTCCTTGTCTTTCTCCCTCAGTTTCGCCACTTCCGTATTAGCATATCTGCAAACCAAATGGACATCCATACTCAATTTTTCCCATGCTGTCGAAAACTGAGTTTATCATACTTGGAAAATTCTTCAGCTTCTTCGTATCCTCTATTCAACTGTCTATCATACTTCCTCACCTAACAATGACAGTATGATACAAAAACGACACTAGAAACGCTCACCTTATCAAAAGCTTGCTCAACTCTAAGCTGAGTATCTCTTTCGGCCTTCTCGCTTGATTGGTCCAGTAACTCCAGTGTTTCAAGATCGGTCTGTAATGAAATGAATACGATAATTAACCACACCATAGCCATCCCCCCCACCTGATGGAATTTGCCCAGCTTCGTTTGCATGCTAGTGGCATATTCTCGCCATAGGGCCATGAACTGGGCGCAGGCTTGTCTGACCAGTCCCAACCGGAACGCCACATCGGAGCCATCCTCACTGTCGGATCGATTAACCTGAGGGCGTAAACAGTTCCCCATACCGTTCCTTCGCCCAATCGTGTCCACCTGTGATTGAGCTTTAGCCAGTTCGCTCATGACATTCGACATCCGCGTCTGCATGCCTTGCTTCAAGTCTCGTAATTCCTCTCGCCTGAAACATCTTCCTATTCACCAGGTCGATGATGAGCATATTCTTACACTTTCGTGATGTTACTTTTCTGAGCATGTTCCAAGGCTAGTAACTGTTGATTCTCCATTATAGAAATTCTCTTCGCCCCATCAGCAGCGCTATTCAATCGATCGAGTCGTTGTTTATTCTCCAACTCAGACGTTTGCGTGTCGAACTGAGCTCCAGTAAGAGCCTCCTTACGCTCCCTATCGAGCATTGACATTCCCTCTGTCACAGAAGCCCCCATGCCGCTGTAAATTCCGTCAATTCGTCTCTCGGCGTCGCCGAACTCCAAATTGAGAGAATCGCTATTGCCATTGAAATGATTCTCGATGTTCCTGAATGATGTAGTGAATCCTTGAAGCCGATCGAAAGCGATCTCACTCAAGGTTGTCAAGAACACTCCTCATCCCATCCTGCACACTGAGCATCTCATCCTTGTCCACTTCCTCCCCTGAACAGAACCAGTCCCCAACCTCCTCATCTGTCGATTACTCACCTCTTAGAATCTTTGCTTTCATCGCAGCATCTGCTCCCTTTACCTTCACCGCGAACTCCTTCATCCGCTGTAACGCCTAATCGACAACATCCATCCCCTCGGCATCCCCTAAGACACTAAGGTGCCTCTAGATTCCTTCTAGCAGCCTCCCTCTCCTCCTCAGTTCCAGCGTTTGTCGCCTGATGCCGCAACTCTGCTATTTTCTTATCAATGGCCTCGTGAGACGCATGAAACCCCTTCTGAACAAAACCAGAACTTCCTAAATTTGTCTTGCGTCGACGACCCACCTGAAGTTGGTCCATCTTGGACGCCAACGTCCTCGGTAGTGCATCCACTCGTTTTTTGAAGTTCTCCGTGAGTTTATTCAAATCACTCTGTTCTTTCCCCTTCATATTGCTACAAAAACATACGTCCTCCAGGCCATTCTTATTGCTATACCCACCTAAACTCGTTCATCAGCTGATTGAAATCTCCCTTGAACTTTTCCCCTTCGCCATTTACGTTCTTCGAGACCCCATCAAGCTCCCCTTCACTGCTCTTCTCATCTCTCTCGAACCGCTCAGAGTCCTCCTCGAGCTTCCTTTGAATATTCTGGAAATCACAAGTCTCAATCACCACGAACATTACTCTCGTCACCAGCTTACCGCATCATCCGAACGTTGAGCTTGCAGTCTTCGTTCAGCAGCGCTGATCGCCCTATCAGCCTCTGACTCCCTCTTCCGAGCATCCTGCTCAGACCTCTGAGCCTCCGAGTCCATCTGATATAACAGCATCACCTATCAGCGATCCTGCCAAGTACCCACCTGTTCTCGCATTTCCCTTTCCATCTGTCCCGTGTCACCAAGAAGCTTAGCCCTGATTCCCTCCAGCTCAGCTCCCGCCTTAGCAGTATTCTGCGATAGATAGTTCTCGTAAGCCTTCTTCTCATCGTCAAGATCGAGTCGTTCTCCCTTTTGAAGAGCCTCCATCTCCTCCTCGGTCCGCCTCAAGTCCCCATCCAGCGTCCTAGCCCGTGCCCTCTCATTTCCGAGCCTACTCTGGAGCTCCGCATAGCCCTCTTTACCAACTCCTTCATAATCCTATCAAATACCATAATCTCTCCTACACAAACCGTCACCCATTTACTTTTATTCCAATGCCGAATTCCCCACTGAGGAGACCAAACTCTTTCCGAGCCTTCAAATCCTCATTATGCATACTAGAATCCAGATTGCTCTTCGATCCACTCAAAAACTGCATCAGTTGCCCGCCCTGATATAAAGTAAGCACATACGTGAGTATAGACTAAAGTCTCCTACCAATCCGAACAGGGTCTGTGCGAGCTGCCGGGCTAAGCGCTGTTGGTTGGAGTATGTCTGTCGCTCCCCATCCAAAGCAGCACCCTTCAACTGACTTTCATCATGAGAGAGGCTCATGAGGCCCTTCAACAGGTTGTTGGCTGAGCCCCCCACACTCCCAATTTGATTCAGAATAGTCTGACATACGAATCGATACCCTACTTCCCTTGCTCGCTCATCTCGAACTCACATGTAGGCCCTTATCCATCTCCCCTGTCGTCTTCTCTTCATCAGCTGCCATGCCCTGGCTCAGTCCGGCCAGCTTACCATCCACACCGTTGAGACCAGCGTTCAAAGAACTCTGCGAAAACCAGTTCAGAACTCCTTCCCCTGCTGCTCCTACTAACCTCGAGGTCCTTCTTAAGCCCCCGGGCCTTCAAGTTGCTCTTCTCTGCATTCTGGTTCAAGTCATCCATCAGATGGTTAACGCCTCCCTGCAGGTTCTCACTAACCTCCCCTGTCTCCTCGCTGAGTGCAATGCAACATATCTATCCTCACCCTCTCACACCACCACTTACTTTATTCCCCTCATTTTAGCTTCCAAATCTGCGGCGGACGCCTTCTCCCCCTTCAGCACGCCCTGCATGAAATCGCCCAACA